TGAGGTAGTAACTGTCAGAAGCATGATCAGGTTTAGCATTGTGATTCGCGCAGAAGAGTTGAGTTCGTCAAAACTGGAAAATCTAGTCGCGTAACTTTAGGAGGACTGTTTTGACCGAGTGAGGAATGATTGCTATTGTAAAGATTTTTCTGCGTTCATAATTGCCGTAGCGGATCATATTCAACAGTAACACATCACCCATTCTGTTGTACACGATATCTTCTCTATATCTTCAATGTGTCCAGAAGCTTTTTCGGTTGTGTCTCTTATGAAGAAGCTTACAAAACTCCAGATTTTCAACCTTGAAACCATATTACTAACAAGAAAAGGGAAAAAATACAGCAGGATTGACTGGATGAGGGAACAGTAGTTGAAAGCTTGCTCATTGGAATAGCCAACATCAACACCACCGAACTCACTAAAGATGCCACATGTATTCGGATTATAAAAACACTTTTACATGTTCACCCTTATAGTCGAAGTATACCAACCCAGTCAGGTTGGAAGTCAGGAATGAAGGGGTTCGAAAGTATGCGTAAACAATGTCGATATACCGAGATGCGTTTAATCTAAGCTGGCTAGCAGTTGTAAACGTTATGTAGCATAGTGTATCCACTCGTGATCTGGTGCGGATACATGATGAAACGCCTCCAGCTATGTGTTTCTAGTAGAACTAATGAAGTCAGCATCGATGTCAAAGGCTCACAGAATTATTTATTTTGGGAATTTATTTACCTCTACACCTCTGCAACACGCTAATAGATTTTCCAGTACCTAACAAACGGGCGAAATCAGCTAGTTCTGTCAGAACAATAAGATTCTTACAACACATAAAAGACCAAGAAATGTAAAACTGCATGATCCCGTTTCTCAAGATTCTCGAATTTCAAATCAACTTTATTCCCGTTTTATTTATTAGCATAGTAGGAACCGGAGTGTCCATAGCAATCTTAGTGTCCAAGTACAAACAAACACTCAATTTGAGGACAACAGTAACTGCAACATCAATAGTATTACCACTAGATAAGCGTCTACAACAATTTCATTATAATTCATACGTTTCAGTGCACAGAGTTACATCACTCTAACCTCGACTACACAATACAATCCTTTTAGGCGCTGGAAATACACACGATTTGAACGAAAATATCTTTATTCAATCAAACAACTGTCAGTGGTACTAACAAGCCAGTTTGATTTATAACACCTTTCATTCTGTCATGTCAAAAACATCTTTCATCGACCTAAACGTGTGTAAATAATCAACAATAGGTACTAAATTGTACTTTCTTGCACCACACAAAAACCTGTAATGATCTCCGAGAAAAACTGCCTTCCCTTCAAGTGAGTAGTAGCTGCTGTACTAACGGATTCAAATATAACCGGACGCTCATGATCATTGAGAGTATCAGTGAGAGATATACGAAGACAGTGTACAATATAATGAACATCCAAATTAAACTAGACACACCAACAACACTGCTATGACACAGAAAGAATTTGGGAAAACTATAAAGGCTTAAGTTTTGAACAATTAGTTACAGAATTTTCACGAGGGCTACTTATTAGCTGTTAAGGCTGAGTGAACAATAATTAAACAGGGATTTAGGTGGTAAAGATGGCAAATAAGTTTTTAAATGGAAACGAATCTTATCAGAATAGAAATAATCCTATGTCATTAAAGTCTCCATGTACTTATTAAATAATTTACTAACTAGAAACAAATCATGTAGTTAAAAGAATGAAACACGAAACAATGAGGAAACACAATTGAAACTTCATGTGTTTATTGGCCAAATAGTAGATATCCACATACTTTTTAATGATAAATCTAAGGTAAGCGTATTTAAGTGAGTAGCAAATCCACGAGAAGTCAAACAATAACGTAGAGCAAACTTGAATAACTGTGTATTTATATTGCTATGATGCCTAGTTATTATAGATGATGAGAACTAGTTAACTTTGACATTCCTTCAGACACGAGAAATGCTAAGATCAGTTAGCACTCAGTATAACAAGAGGTGAGTGACGAGCGTATACATTACAAGCATTGACAACAGGCAACCAAAATCCTGCACAGAACTGATTGGTGATTATTTTAAAAAGCACAACGACACAAAACACGTCAATAAGATTTGCATCGATTTCCACAGCTTTAAATCCTTACTGAACTCACTCTGCGGTATTAGGCATTTAGCCTTTCCAGTAAAAAAGAATTTCAGGAGAATATGAAAACTACATACCATATTGTTCTTATTCCTCCCCACCTTAGTGGATCAATAGTACTTACTTGCTCCTGTTACCTCTCGTTGTGGAGCATAAATCGTTCACCAGCATCTTCCGTTCAATTCAGGAAAATCCATTCCGGTTGCTATTCATCCTTTTCATGTCTGCTTACGATTCTCGGTGCAGTGTGTTCTTTGAACTTCCTATTTTTCGTTTACCTTCAGGATTTTAAGTCAGCTCTTGCTTCGTAATGCAGTTTGGTGATTTCCTCAATGTATGTTCTATCTACTTCCAACGTCCTTTCCTAATTTTCTCTTCATCTGAAAGCTGAATTGTTCTACCCCAGATTAGGATGTTGATGATGGTATGTAGCCGACGGATATTGAGTATCTTGAGTAGATGATTGTTTGTACATACTTGTACATTTATGATCGTGGTTATGATAGCTCTCCACGTTTCACCTCCATACAGTAGAAATGCCTTGACTTTCGTATAGAAGATTTTGACTTTGATATTGGTTGGCAGTTGTTTTGAGCTTCATACGTTCTTCAATTGTAGGAATGATGCTCTTTCTTGCCTTTACATTTACTTAAGATCCTCCTTGTTCATCCATGAAGCCATTCATGTACGAAGAACTTTTCAACTCTTTCAGTGCTTCTTCATCAAATGTGTTTGAATTGGTGCTCTCTGTTTTGTATTTTATGATCAGGCTTTTTCCTTGAGTATTTTGAAGTCTGCTGATGCAGAGGCTACTGCTGCGTTGACTGTCTTGACCTGCATTTGTTGGTGTGTATGAGATAGAAAAGGTAAGTCATCCGCGAGCTACAAATCGTCTAGTTGCATCCAAGTTGTACATTGTATTCCGTGCTTCTCCTCAGATGTGTAGGTCTTCATAATGCAGTCGACAACTAGAAGAAAGAAAGAAGGCAAGAGTATCCAGCCTTGTTTGACACCTGTTCTCACTTGGAATCCATCTGTCAGCTGTCCTCCATGCACGACTTTGCAGTGTAATCCATTGTATGAATTCCATATGATGTTGATGATCTTCTCAGTTACAGCATAGTGTTGAAGAAGGTTTCACGAATTTCTCCTATTCACACTGTCAAGTGCTTTCTCATAACCAGTAAATTTGATGCAGTGATGAATTCCATTCAATTGGTTTTTCAACGATGATTCATTTTGTTGTGATTTGATCTATACACGCCCGATCCTTACAGAATCTGACCTGTTGATATCTAAATTGGATGTCTACTGGATCATCGTTTGGTTCAGCATTACTGTTGGAAACAGTATTTTGGTGCTTTTGTATTCTTCATACCTGATCACATCTTCCTTTGATATGTTGATGAGGTGTCCCTCTTTCTAGTCCATAGGCACTTGCTCCTCTCCCCACATCTTCATGAATAGAACGTGGAGTATATTTATAGTTACTACTATGTTTGACTTCAGTGCTTCAGGTGGTATATTTTCAGGTCCTACTTCTTTCTTACTCTTGATTTATTTGATGGTCATCCTGATTTCTTCCGTCGTTGGTGGAATGGCGTTTATAGGAATGTCTGTGTGTTCTGCTTCGATATCCGGTTGGTTCACTGACAGTGGTCTATTCAAGAGTTATTCAGAGTGCTTTACTCATCTGTTCCGCTGTTCCTGAATCTCGAATATTTGATTTCTTTTTTTTTGTTTTTGACCGATCGCTCTGATTTTCCATATTTTCCCTTCTATTTTCTTCACTGTACCTTACGATTGTTTAATATTCCTTTCTCTTGCAGCCTTTTCCACTGTCATTGCTGAGTTCTCTACGTATTTCCACTTGTCGGCTTTAACGCTCCTCTACACTTGTTTGTTGCCACTGTGTATTTGCACCGTACCTTGACTTTCTCGGCATCATCTATTTCGTCCTTGACGTTTAGATCTCCCATCAGGATGGTCAGGTTCTTTTCTCATCACGTCTCTGAAGTTAACTGCAGCCTTTCAGAAAACTGATTTTTATCGTGCTTTACTGCTGTCAATGGTGAGTGCATAACATTGAATAACACAGGTTGTGATTACCTCCTTCTTCGCATCAGTCCGACTCCCTGATTATGCGGAGCATTTACTTCCTCATGACCAGAGTATAATAGCATCTCTCTCGAATCTAATCTTTTTTGTCCAATTTGGGTTCAGTGGGTTTCACTTATTCTGAGCACCTCCAACTTCTATCTCTTCCTTTCCATAGCTATTTCATTGATCCTCCTGGTCCTTTGCATTGTCCGGACATTCCATGTACCTATATTAATTGTTGCTCTGGTTGTTAATAAAAGAAAAGACTTTGTCTTTATCGAAGAGTCTTTGATTTCATCAAGAGGTATCATCTCATCCAAATGATGTTCCATCAACTGTGAGGGCAGATTATGAATGGTACAAATTGTTTATTCTAATTAGCGTCATTTTCACAAGGTTGTCTTATACGGGATTGTAATGCTGACCCGACACCCGGCCCTCATTCTTCACCCGGGCTTAGTACCAGTAGTAGCCCTGGAAGATCTACAGGCGGAGTTATCATTGGTGCTATATCACACCATTTGAGGTTGTTTTATAGGACAAGGCATTTTGTTTGTTCAGCCGATTGAGAGATTTGGTTTACGAATTTTTTTAATTAGGTTTTCATTCAATGTCTAGAAGTTCATAATACTCCTATAACTTTCCTACACTGGACGTATTTAGTGATAAAATGTTCCTATTCGATTACTGCTATCACTATCAAATAGTGCTTTCGTTCTAATATTAAAAAAGCATTTAAACTTCCCGTTAACGAAGATACTCTCCCAACACTCAGGCACAGAAATAAAAGGACAAGCAGTTCACCCTTCAACGTTTGAATCTTGCACATGCAGATATTGGACGTAGAATATTACTTAAGGCACCTCTTTCGTTTGTGCGTTTGTGGTGATGATCCGTTCGGCCGTAATCAACTGTGTGAAAAGTATGATTGTTTAGCGAAATAAGTTTTCTTTTTAAGGTTACCATAAAACTGTACCATATATTTACTTTAGACCATGCGCAAACCATTCTACTAATCCACAGTATAACAATGCAACCGAGCCTTATGAAGTATTCAAATCCCGTTTTTTGAATGCCTTTGATGATCCGAAAATTGATGGTTGGTGGGCCAGAACATGGATGCAGAGACTTCATCTAGAAGACGCCGTTCCTCCCCCTGAAGTGGTAATTAGCGGCCTTAAGGCTTGCAAACGCCTTAACGACATCGCCCTGGCCATAAGGTTTGTTGAATCTGTAAAAGTAGGTTGCTCTATCGTGATTCGAGTGTTCTTTAGTTTAAGTGCAAAGTTGTCAAAGGTGCTTGGGAATGGATGCGACAAGAGATTGAACCCACAATGAAACAACTTGGTTTGCCAACTTTGGAAGAACTTGGATATGATAAGCCTGAGTTGGCTGTAATTGACTATGACGACTAAAAACATTGTGTAATCTAGAGAAAAATACATAGAATTGTTCTGTTAGAAGTATTATACTTTTATCACACATAGTAGCCGATGTGGTTGTGATCTGTTATTAATTTCAATATGACCATTTCTAGCATTTCTGTCAACGGATAGTAAGTAGTGAATGTTTTAGTTCCTACTGAACAAATACACTCCTGTTCACAAGTAGTTGTTTTCTCAGCTGAATATTTTATTCTTAATCGTCTCATGTACCCCTCTCATAAGCTGTTGTACTCTGAAAAAGTAATATGACAGTAGGTCAAATAAAAGCGTACAGTAAAGTATGTTTTCAAAAGAAAATTGTCATAGGTTTTTAATTACTAATTACTTGAGCAGATATATCCTATAAAACCAGAAAAGTCTTATAAGCAGTAATTGCTCGTCGTTAGTAATCTTAACAGAGCTACCTCAGTTCTTCACTTTGTTCGTGTTCAAAATGGATATGTAAGGATCCATTGGAACGTTGTAAATCTGTTACATAAGATTACATTCTAATGGGATGTGTAAACACCGTCCTAGAACGTTAATTGGCAAAGTATGTGGTTTAAATAATTTCTGGGTAAAGACTAGTTTTTACACATTGGGTGTTCACTCCTGTAATATATTTGTATATAGGCTCTTTTGTGTAGTCATGAAAACACTGATATTGATCTTTAGAAATCAAAAGACCTTATTTGCTAATCAGGGTTATAACTCTGGAATATACTTCTTGATGCATGATGTACCAGTCATTATATGCCCATCTTGACTCCTTTGAATACTGACCCACCTTACAGAAAATGCTCGTATAAAATTGTCACATGTTCTTAAATCACAACTCTGAAGAACCCAATGTATTGTGCTACTGATTGTCTTCTATCAAACGTTACGTAGGACAAGACTAGCGCTTTAGTTTTCGCAAAACGGGAAAGTACATATACATATTTTCGAATGATGACTGCCTCGGTCATGACGGTGGTTTGCTTTGAAGAAGTACTTATCTGTTTGAGTAGGACAGTTTAATGACTGGATGGTTAACTTTCAAAAACACTGGCATTCTAAGTTTTCTGCAGAACTTTCCTCAAAATCCAACTTCCATATGTACAGTGCAGATTTACTGTACTAAAAACCATATATAAAGATGATACTATTAACCTATAACTACAAGGTAGGCTTACTCTATTTGCTTGGATTCACCGTCTTATATGTTTTTGAACGTTATCTACATTTTTATCTAATAGCCACCATTGTAATTCGTCCTATCGATTATTTTATTTCTGATTATCATGTTTGGTATCTCAGTCCATTCGATTTTTAAACCAACTAGGCTTTTCGTATCCGTGCAAAAATTTGTCAGCCAAAGAGGACTCGTAATCCTTTAGTTCATAGTAAGTCTGGTGATCAACATAGTGAACTCACTCTTCGTTGTCATGCTGAAGATTAAAAGGAACCAGTAGAGACACATTACATTTAAAAGGCGAGAAACTAGTATTCTCAGCATTCAGTAACAGATATCTTTTGTTATAATCTCAACATGACTCACTTGTTTACATTTTAAGCGGTATTTACTCAGTTGGTTTTCAGAAGAACACTATTTCGATTCGCTAATAAGTAAATGGTTAAGTACTGAATTCCACGTTTTTAATTAATCACATGGGTACTGTCACAGGAGCAGCTCGTGAAAATTTTGTGAAATCTAATGCTCTCGTGGTCATCATATTCTGATTGTAGAAGTTGCACGACCTTCTCACTTATGTAGATGCCTACCGGCGTAACAAATCGCTATTGGTTCACCAAGTCGGTGTACTTTGACATTCATAGATAGTCTAAAACTGTGTCTTCCAGTCCATAAAATTATTTGTTCCTATTGTGTGTATAAAACATTTTAGCAAACGGGCTATGTAGTACTTCGTAGAGATCTCCCAGTAGCAAAATAAAATAGATTTGCTATCGATGAACATGGCCTTCTACTCCTTATGTTTATCGGAACATTTGACACTAATTGGTTATGAAGCCAACTAGATATTTACTCCATAATCCTTTATTGTGTTGTTCGACTACTCATCCCTTCGTATGTGTCCGCACAAAAATGTGAATTGGTGAATACAGTGGGATGTGAGACACTAGAAGCATCTATTAACATCGGTGTGAAAGTCGTTTCACACCAATACCCTTTGTAACTTTGTTGAGAAGAAAAGGGTTTATATCTATTTACTACTTAGAGGAGAGTTAAACAGCATAATTTTTTAAAACTAAAAACAGCCATAGAGAACATATACTGCGCTGCTCAATCGGCTGTTATTTAAAAAAACAGTCCATGATTCTACACAGACAGACATCGCACAGACGACTACGCCACACCTGGTTTTTTGACAACAATCAATGTAGCAGCGTAATATGTTTTCTTCATTGCTGTTTTTTATTTCTGTCTCGCATCTCACTGCATTCACTGATTCAGATTTTTTATGGACGCATACATAGGGATGAGTAGTTGAGCAACATAGTAAAGGATTATGTATCTACTTGGCCTCAGAATCAACCGGTGTCAAATGTTCCGATAAACATAGAGAGTGGAAAACTATATCCATTGAGAGCAAAGTGTGTAAATGAGACGGGGCATAGAGTTGTCACTAATACAACTTACAAAACACTATCTGGAAATTGTCAAGGATTTATAGAGCCTTGTCTTTTTCGTAAACTCAAACCCCTTTTATTCATGCAGAAACGACTCGACACCTTTAATCTGGCCTAATAATCTTACGGCATATGATAGTGTGACATTACTATTCTTGCCGTGTATTAATGTTTCTCCTGTATTTATAATTAACACTATATCAGAAGGGGGCCGTTTCGTCCTAGTACGGGTTTTCCATGGTGGTCTAGCTTTATTTGACTCATGAATTCAATTATTAAATCACTGAAATCTGCACAAAACCCTCCTTTAGATAATGATCATTATGGGCTCACTAGTGACTGGCTTCAAGAGGCATTTCCTGGAGTTCTGTTGGGAAGTCGTGACCAGTGGAGTTCAACCAGGTATGTTGTGAGATAGTAACTCTGAAGACAATGGTGAACGGTTGCTTAATTTCGTGGATTGGTTGAAGTTGAACAGTAATACTGTTGGATGCTGGCTCAGTGGTCTAGAGGTCAAGCGTTCGTGTGCGAGAACAATAGGTCCTGGGTTCGAACTTCGCGAGATGGGATTGTGGATGCGCACTGCTAAGGAGTCCCACGATAGGACGAAACGGCCATCCAGTGCTTTCAGGTTTTTTCATAGTGGTCTAGCTTCAGTTAATTCATGATCTCAACTATGAAAGCAATCACATTTGTAGAAACGTTTAAAAATTAATCTAAAATTTTCATAAATAAAGATTATGGAAAAATTTTAGTTTTGTAAAGTTTTACCCCCGTGAACTGGATAATTTAATTTTGAAGCTTAGCTCACATTGACTGATGAATTCAACTATTAAATTATTAGTTTATTTAAACTTCCATTTAATAAACCTTCATTGGTTTTGACATATAAACGACTTGATGAGTGTACGTATTACCAGATTGTTCAGAGTATGTAGCACAAATACACCACATTTTCCAGATCATCTCCTAATTGTCTTGTCGAGAAAATTTCGAGTGGTCACAGTTCCTTAAAATAGGACTAAGAATCAAGCAGTGCATTATTACCAGAGGTTCATTATTCCACATTCTGTTTTCATCTGCCATAAGGAATTCCGAGAATACCCTTTTATACATGCGAACTATTTCATAACATTGTTATGTTTTCCTATTTATTATTATAGAATTGTAGCCTACATACTTAGAGACCTGACTTTCGATCAGTGGATCATGGGTCAGCCTACTGAGGTCTAGACTATCCACTCAAAGATACTTAGTGTGCTTTGTAATCTAAAACATTAATATGTGTATTGTTGCTGAACTCCTAGCCATTCCCATCATATTTTAAAGTTAGAGGAGGCAAAAGATATTCAATAGGCCGATATATTTCAGACTAGTCGCATACTGTTTTAAGACTGTGTCGGATTGGAAATACAAGCTTGGGCATACTATTGTTAGTTATTCACGTAGTTAAGTTCTCTCCTGGCGTCTATTTGTCATAATCTGCATGATCTACATCAAAATCGATTCGGCCTTTGAGATTAAACTTCTTACATGCTTTTTGGCTTACTCTTAGGCAGCTAGTTGCGATAAGCGTTATAAGACATGTACTGCAACTGGACCTGAGTGGTAGTTCATGTCTATCGCAGTTTTACATTCTAACGATATAAACTTCACTAGTGCGGTATGCTTTGCGAATGTGTTACCATTGCCTCGTGGATCTTTCATACTCTTAGTTTATTCTAGGAAACACGAAAATCATGTAGCCATGGAGTATTACGTAACATGAAAACGTGGCTCTTAGCGACTAAAGATTTGTGTGAACTGTGTATATACTGTGCTAAGTTAGTTGGAAGGATTAGTACGTTTAACGACTAGGTATAGTCCTTGTAATTCATGCGATGAAACTACTGACTGTCGGGTTGAAGGTCGTGGGAAAGCTAGTTTTTCTGGTTAAGGTCCGAAGTAGTTCTAGAGAGAAGCCGTGGTCAGTGGAGTTCAATCCGTATCGGGTGTGAGACAGTTGTCCGCCTCGGGCAATGGATGACGGATTGTGCAAGATCATGAATTGGTCAAGGTTGACACCGTTAGGTGCCGACTTAATGGTTTAGGAGTTGAGCGTTGCGCACGAGACTGGAGTTCCTGAATTTGAGTCCCGTATGTGGAATCGTGGATGCCCACTTCTGAAGATTCCTATTTTAGAACGAAACAACTGCCCAATACTTCCAAGTTTTCAATGGTGGTATAGCTTATATCAACTCATGATTTCAACTAACTTAAAATTTCACATGACACGGCTTGAGAACAATGTCAGTAATGTATATGTATCTAATCTATATTGTTTTAGATATAATAATTTCTCGCATTCTTTCAACATCTGAACTGTCTTGATTCCTTGCTCATTTACAACGTTCATTTTTGTAGGGTGTGCTGTTTTGTTAATTACCTTTCTAAAACTCTAAGTCTAAGATAAGTGCATCTTCGTCACTATGATTGATTTTTTTTATTATTAATGGCTTTATTCAATATTATATTTTTGTTACTTCATAGGATTCTCAGCACAAAGTATTTCAATAAGTTTCCTTTTCTTATTTCTTGATCAATTCTGATGGTAAGTATTGAGTGATCACCAATATGATGCTAGCAGTTCAGGCATCGACATTTGAATAATGTTCATTCTTTTCAATGCATCACGAAGTCGCTGATTGTGCTTTTCCGTAGGTTTTACAACAAAAGATCGTAAACTTTTCACAAAAGTGCCTGGCTAGGTTATACGGTTAAAGACATAATGAGGTGTTGAAACAAACAAAAGAAACATGAATTTTTGAAATATCTAGATAGCAGGAACGGCTAGTTCAAATATTGAAGTAAGCCGCTTAGAGTTTTCGACAATCGGTCACGATTATTGCATGAATTTTTATCTCTACCTCCCAACACTCAGATCAACGGTCACTGATTTCATGGATCGTTGTCACGTCTGGTTTTAGATGCCTTTATCTTCCTACCTACTCGACTCAGCAACGCTTGACGAAACAATCAGTATTCTCAGTCACTTCAGTTAGTGAAGATTAACAGCCTCATCAAACAATTTGCCGTATTTGTGTAGTATCTTATATCTAGTCTTACCATTACTTACTATTCTATTTCAACATACGCGAGCGATGCTGGAAAGACATCTATGATCAAATGCTTTAACCATTAGGTCACTGTTACATAGAAATGTGTACATAAATGTACTGATTCAAGGATCCATACTTCATTTAACGTTCAAGACGAAATGAGATAGTTTTAAGTAAATCATGTTGATTTTTAAGTTTTGGGGATTTTCATGGATTATCAGATTTTATTTCGGGTCGATGTTAAATTAGTTAGATCTATCTTAATATGCTGTGATAGCATTAGACCACTTATCTGAATCTCGCTTAGTATATACACCCTTAATATAATTGGTTTTAGGTCAGAGTTAAGTACTCTTGATGACTGGACTTGACAAATGTACCGGTTATTTTATTTCAAACAGTATATAGTAGGAGACTTAACTTCCCATATGTTCCATACCATTATTCTGCTCAAAGAAGTTTCTCCAACATGTCAGTCTACTTTTCAGTTGGCGGTTTGTTTGTTTTGTAATTCTACCAGTTTTCTGTCAAGCTTTTATGGATTGAAGATTGTTATCTTCGCTAATGTTTAGTAACCTTTGACTGCTGCACTTCGCTTGGCCTGAAATCAATCAATACAAGAGTGATTTTGTAATATCATATTTTTCAAGGAATCGGAAAATGGGATCCATAATAACAAAAAACTAGAGTTAAAGTAAAATTTACGTAAGGAACTTCTTATGTTTTCATGATTTACTAATCCACCAACTCTGGTTGATTTAAAAGTGGACTAATAATCGTATTCAAAGTTTTGATTACAGTCGTTAGGATTCTGTCCTGCAGACAAATAATTTATGCATTATCCTTGTTAGCAGGACATAGATTGGGTTATAGGACATTCCCCATAGAATTAGGTTGGGGCACGGCGATCGCGCCATTTTTAACCAGTCAGCGTTTGTGGGTAAACGGTTATGATTTTAAGATCTTCCTGTGTCGAAGTTATAAATGCGCTAACAGTTTTATTTTTGTGTTAACTTGCGGTTTTGTTTTGGGTTATAATTACAGTCCTTTTCGAGCTGTGTCCTCATTTAAAGACCAGTCGAGTGAAGTAATGTCTGAGGAGTACTAGACAGCAGAAGTAACTAGGTGGGATAATCATTACTTTAAAAACCTTAGTTTTAGATAAACAGTCCTTCTCAGTTAGAGTTATATATTGTCCTATAAGATACTAATGGAACGGTCACTGTGTATAGAAATGTCAAATTACTTATATTCATAGCCTGTATTGTTTCTTTTGAAGATTATTTCATCTCTGTTCAAAAGCGATAATGTTCTTAATTAACATATGGCTCCTTGGTGCATCAGATCGCTGAATGTTCGTAGTGTCTGAAGTGATTCGAATGATAAAAGGTTAATAAGTTCACTTAGTAATATGGTTGTTATATACACAGTCCTATGTTTAACTAAGTGTTTACACTAATTACAGTACCAACTTTCCTTATCGGTGTTTATGCAAAAATGAAACAGTAAGACTTATTGTAGTGTTTGTTTAAACTAATGATGCCTTTGTACTTGATATCGGTCTGATTTCGAATTCCAAATACAATACGTTTGTTTGTGCTCATCTAGTTCTGTTAGGTCTAGATTGTGCTATTTCTGGGATTTCTAGTTTGTATAATAATTCAAATACTTCTACTCATCACACTCACCAGAATATTTGATATATCCATTTTTCATGACATGCAATATTTAACTTGGAATACCATCACTCGATTAAGTGTTTACGATTCATTTTTATATGAGACGGGTAAATACTTTCTTTGTATTCAAATGAACTGTATAACATTAAACTAGCCTGAAAGCTGTATGCATAGAAAAGTGAGTTATTTCAGCAACCTAGCTGTAGAAACATATTGCTTTTAAGTCATGAGAGAAATGACATTTTCAACATAAATTTTTAGTAAAGTCGGTTATTACACCATTTAGTGTTCAACATCAATCTATGTGTCTGGATTGATTTAGAAAATAACAACTTTTGTTTGTGAAGAACTAAGCACAGTCAGCCTTAGTCGTACGAAAATTGAAACTCCCTTTGTGTATTCAAAAACAGTTTGTTCTCACCTTGAACCTACCCTGGTAATATTAGCTTATTATCCAGAGTGATTAGATTTCAAATTATCCTTGTCTATTCTTACCCACCATTTCCAGTCTAGTTGACCTTTTATTTTTATGCATAAATGTTCTTAAAAAGTATATGTGTGATCAGTTTGTTCGAAATGTATTGCGCTAATATATCACATAGTTCTGATAATCTTCGTCTTCTTATTACACTATCGAATTCATATTTTCACATGACTTTTGGTGGTTTCTTTTTACTACTATCTATACAGAGTTGTTCTATTTGAATTTTGGTTTCGATGATCAGTCTTTCCTTTTTCTACACTCTTGCCTTCCTCTTATATTCTATTATTTAAGAATGATTGTTTATATCTCAAATACCGTATTATCTAGTTCTTATTAATACCTCGTGATATTTCAATTATCCATAGGTTTAAAGTGACATAATAATTTTATATAGTTGAATTCATGAGTCAATTGAAGCTAGATTACCAGGGAAAACCTGGAAGTACTGGACGGCCGTTTCGTCCTATTGTGGGACTCTTAAGTAGTGCGCATCCACGATCCCGCACTCGCGAGATTCGAACCCAGGACCTATCAGTCTCGCACCAGAGCCCTTAACCGATAGACCACTGAGCCGGCATCCAACGGTGTTAATGTCTAACTTCAATTAATCCACGAAATTGAGAAACCATTTACCAATGTCTTCAGTGAGTTACTATCTCACAACAGACCTGGTTGAACTCCACTGGTGATGTATATTTGTAATTAATTCGAATGATCAATCATATATCCATAGATACATATGTACTGTATACCTCAATATGATAGCATGAACTTAACATGAATAATACACCAATACAATCCAAAGAAATTTCCCCGTTTACGTTCTTACTCCACTGGTCACGGCTGAGAAGTCCCACAGTAGGACGAAACGGCCGTCCAGTGCTTTCAGGTTTCCCATGCTGATCTAGTTTCAATTGATTCATGATTTCAATTATATAAAAAAAATTACTAAAATCTCCACAAAACCCCCTTCTGACATAATAATTGTTCAGAGTAAAAAGAACTCGACAACAACAAAAATCATTTATTAAAATACATACAATTTCATATTCATATTAAAATAGTCTAACCAACAATTGATCTATTATTTAAATATAAATTTTCCCCTATTAAAGAATGTATATCCATTAAACTATTATAAAAATCAAATATATTTTAAAACTTTTGATAATGATTCTTCTTCTTCTTCCTACGGTTAATACGTTGAAAGAATGAATAAGTAGTATGTATATAAGTTCTAAAATTAATATACTTATTATTAAGTAGTAAACAAATAAACAAGCAACAAGACAAAACATTATTATATAGTAATTACTAGTAACTGAGTATACAATATGAGTAGTAATATAATACTATTAGTAAATGATTCATAATTTCCAATGATGATAATAATAACCGGTAGAATTATATAATACAATATTTAATAATAAGTAGTATAAGAGGATTAAATGAGTAGTAACAAATAATAAAAAAAGTTGTTATAATAAATGAATTCAATTAATGTATTAAGTGCATAATTGATGATGTTTAGCAGTACGTGATAAATGGATACTTAATTTTTGCATTTTATCCATATAACCTTTTAATTCATCAGTTAATAATTCACTTTCTATTTCTAATCTTTTTAAATTTGTTATAATACCTGGAAAAAAAAGAAAAGGAATTCAGTTACAAATGAATAATGAAATATATAACAATAAGTAGTACTAGATTATTTTTGATTGATTATTTCATAGTGTTGTTACTGCCCCCAAATGCCTTGGTACGGCCGAGAGTGAAGAGAGTCCGCTCTCCCTCTCCAAATGCTCTCATATGGCCACGCGTATATAGCCTCTGCCAGGGAAATCCTACTCACTGCCTTCTCGTGGCATTACTGCTGTTTACGAAATTGAGAGGACGAGAAGCGAATGTTCGGCGCTTTAAACGGGTTGGTGGACATTGAGATTCCATCTAGGGGAGTTGGAAAACCCTGATTTCAAACTGTTAAGTCGGCTTACAGTAAACTCTATCAGAGCCTCCAGAGGCACATAAAGAGTCCAACCAATCAGCGATTAGTTAGAAGCTATGCTACTAAAATAACGAGGTCCTGATTGGCTGTTTAACATACTGCTACTATGGAATCTCAAGGTCTCTTAATTACTATAAAACCCCTGTTTTTCTATACATAAACGAACCTTGTAGTAAAGTGCTTCTCTGATACTCGTGTCTTCTCTCTGGTCTTCAAGTTTGCTGTATAGTTCTAGCTCGGGGATCCGAAACTATCTTAGGGAAGCAAACATAACGTTCACAAACGGCAGACGTAACACAAACCAATGGTGCACATGGGCTCCAGGATCCTGAGGGAACGAATGGCGTATGAATCTATTGTTGGTCACCGGCTACCATGGGACTGCATCTCCTTACGATGCTCCACTGTCTTGTGGATCAGATCTTTAGGTCGAAGGCTCCGGGTGTGATCCCCTAAGAAAACCACTTGATTCAGTTTGGGCACCTGGGTAGTATCACAGCCCTCACACAAATCAAATGAGATTTGTATGGCGCATGTATATCTGGTGCCCATTTGTACCAATATTTATGTGTTTAAATAAATAAATAAGTGTTGTTACTATCGATATTATGGTTAAAAGTTAAGTCTTTTAATCAAGTTTGAGCGTTAACAAGTCATTGACAGACTAAGTTATACACATAAAAATCGCTTTTAATGTTAGTATGGATTGTTGGGAATTGACAAGTAGAAATGTTTAACTCGAAGGTTTTTTTTCTTTTATCCTTTGCTTCAAATAATTTGTAATGAAAACTAAATGAAACATTGGGAACTTCTTTAGTTTACTCAATCGACTAGGAGACAATAAAGTATTCATCAATGATAGTTAAGTTTGTTTTCTTTATCATGTTCCCATGAATTCCATGAACATCTCTTATTGTTAGGTATATATAATGAAAGGTATGGTTTTTCTTTGCATAGTGAGATTATACTTCATGAACTAGTGAATAATAGATCATTTTAAGCTTGAATACTATTAAAAGTTTTCAATTTTAGCAGTGGGTCGTCTTGTTGTACATATATTTTAATTTAGAATGGGATTTGTGGAGATAATCATATGCTCACTAGTGACTGACTTCAAGATACATGTCCTGGAGTTCTAGTGGGAAGCAGTGACCAGTGGAGTTCAACCACGTCCGTTGTGAGATATCAACTCACTGAAGACAATTGATGAATGGTTGCTCAACTTCGTGGATCAGTTGAAGTTAGACATTAACACCGTTGGATGCCAGCTCAGTGGTCTATCGGTTAAGTGCTCTGGTGCGAGACTGATAAGTCCTGGGTTCGAATCTCGCGAGAGTGGGTTCGTGGATGCGCACTGCTGAGGAGTCCCATAATAGGGCGAAACGGCCGTCCAGTGCTTCCAGGTTTTTCATGGTGGTCTAGCTTCAATTGACTCATGATTTCAACTTTGAAAAGTATATTTTAATAATAAACAACTAAACAATTTCATACGCATTATATAATGTTTGTCCATTATGGTTTGCGATCAGAATGGGGTTTTTATGGAGATTGTAGTGATTTTGATAGTTGAATTAATGAGTCCATTGCTTCCAGGGTTTTCAGTGGTGGCCTAGCTTACATTAACTCATGAATTCAACCATTATAGTTTAGACAAATTACAACGACAAACATTAAGTAATAGTTAGATGTTTATCAGTCTACAATCTTGTTAATTTAAGATATAAAGGACCTTGATATTTTCATTACGATAAAGTAAACGTGAAAAGGAGTTAAATGGCCTTGAATTATTTTTAAAACAAATCATTCTTTAGCTTACTTTTAACCTCATCTGTATTTAATTCTAAAGTACTAGTATAATTTTGAATTTCTTCCATTAGTTTAGCTGGATCAGTTAGTGTAGTATCTGGTAAATCTTCATCACCAGTACCACGATCACCTGTATCTAATGCACGCATCAATTTGTCAAGTTCTAACATTTTCTCATCCAATTGTTTAAATGAGACCTATAATTAGAATGAATAGGTAAAAAAAAGCTATAAATTGTTAAAAATTGTGTATATTCTCAAAAAACAACTGCTTTATATTTAAGATGTAGAAATAAGTTTGTGTTTTAAAGTGTTTACTTCTTTATCAGAAGGGGTTTTGTTGACATTTTAGTCAGTTGAAGCTAGACCACCATGGAAAACCCAGGAAACACTGGACGGCTGTTTCGTCATATTATGGGACTCCTCAGTTGTTTGTTACACTGTAATGGAATTCAGTTGTCTGATGTGTTTTTTCTATTACTGGCTTTTTGTGCTTTTGTTTAATGGACATCACTGACAGAAGTCGTTTCGGCAAATTGATACATATATGTCTTCTTAATAAATATGCCTTTATATTCCATTTTATCATGTCATTTGTTGGATTTCGCTTTCATTATTTCTTGTTTATTTCCTTCAACTGAGTTTTAAGTTTTTCGTAAATGTTCACTTATCACATTTTTCGAAAATTACTTTAAGGGTTAAAGCAAATCTCAAAGTCGTTTTAATCATCGTTAAAGATGCAAATCATGCATTATTAGTAGGTATTGTAGTGTACTTCTGTAAAATGATGAGGCATGGGAAAAAGATTACCCCTCTTCAATTCTTACCTACTAGTTGCTTCCCACAGCTCTCGAACAGTCATGCCCCTCAAAATGCCAGAAGGAAGGCATTAATAACGGAGCTTTCTGATCTTTGGGGTCAGAACTGTGATACTCTCTGTATCACAACAACTCTGTATATAATAGTCATCATGATATTACGACATAACGAAAATCACAAACTAAGCGCAAATGTAACCAATCAAGTAATATTGATGATCATTGTAATTTGTCAGAACTAAAATTTATTGGCAGTATTAAGAAAAAATGTGATCATCCGAGGCTTTCCTAGCAGTTACTCATTAGAGCGATCTACTAAAGTGTAAATCGATTTCAGATTATCTAGACAAATAAGAAATTGTATCAGATGTTTCCAAAATTAAATATGCTGCAAGTAACCATATCAAGCATTCGGCTAGAAACACAACAGATCTCATCATTCTACACGATTCATTTTGATAACTGTTTACCTCTTAAAAGACAAGTTGGTAGTACAGATATCCATTGAAATCAAATCATTGATGACGAACGACATACGAAGCAGATCATTCGGACGCAGTCAGGCCATCGAGGAAGTGAGAATGGAATTAGGTATCATGTTGTAAATTTTAATTGACCTCTTAAGCTGAGATTTATCACACGACTACGCTCAAGTGGTATTTGTATTCAACTTTCAAGAATGTCAGACAATTCTCTATCCTTTACAATAATCTTTTACTTAAGAATCACAGATTCTGATGTACTTGCGATTTATTTAGTCAAAATATAAATAATTTTAAAATTTTCTTAGCCACTGTGATTTCCTTGCTTTTGTGATTTTTCAGATTTGTATGACTATTGTCAGTATCCTGTATACAAAAGCTCGTAAGTAATGTAATGTCGTTGGCAGACAATATCAGTTTATGAAAACAAAAGTGTTACAATATTTTCACAGTTGGAAAAACAAGTTTGTTAGAAATCATTTGAAATATGTACATGAAGTCTGAAAGATGTGTGTCCTCTCTCTAGGTTTTGTTGGGCCCCCGAATGCCCTGGTACGGCCGAGAATGTGGAGGGCCCTCTCTCTCGAAATGCTCTCACACGGCCACGCGTATATAGCCTCTGCCAGGGAAGTCCTACTCATTGCTTTCTCTCGACATTACTGTTGTTTACGAAATGAAGAGGATGAAAAGCGAATGTCCGGCGCTTTAACCGGGTTGGTGGACACGGAGAGTCCACCTAGGGGAGTTGGAAAACCCTGATTTCAAACCAATGGTGTACATGTGCTCCAGTATCCTGAGCGAAGAAATGGCGTATGAACCAATCGTTGGTCACCGGCTATCATGGGACTGCATCTCCTTACGATGCTCCACTGCCTTGTGGATCAGATCTTTAGGTCAAAGGCTCGGGGTGTTGCCCTCTAAGAAAACCACCTGTTTCGGTTTGGGCACCTGTGCAGTACCACAGCCCTCACACAAATCAAATGAGATTTGTGTGGCGCATATGTATTTGGTGCCCCTTTGTACCAATATTTGTGTGTTCAAATTCAAAGGTTTTGTTGTAATCTCTTGTAAAGCTCCAAAGACCATAGGGGCTTGGTGTTTTCATCGCATTCGTGCTAACTCATTAAAAATCAATTGCTGAAATTCTGAATCTAGTCTCAATAGAATTTCAGTGTTTGATGAAGGTTGTTTAATAATAAAATATGGTTAAAACATTTCTTTATTGGTTTATTCTTTTAAATAAATACCTAAAGTTTACCATTCATTACAAGCAAATAAAATGTATCGTTTTTATATATAACTTACTTCAACAAGTTCGATTTGTTGTAATGTATCTAAAGTTTCACGTCTAGCAACATTAGTACTTGACAGTAGGTCATCTGCTACTTCAAAAGCCTCTTTTGCTTTATCCGACTGTAGACTTGAATCACGCGAGAACATAATAACTTGATTTTTGAATCCATCTATTTGTTCAGTTAACTAGGGAAGATTGAGGGAAAAGTAGTTGAATAAATGTATAAATAGTTAGATTAGTAAGCTTCTTATCAGTAAAAAAAGATTGCTACCACATGACTGATATAACAGTTGGACTTGAATGAAATATGAATTGTAGCAGGATTTCAAACAGTAGATAATTTATTACCGAATCAATTTTCTATAGAATAAGTCAGACGCAATCGACAACCGAGATTAGATTGTGTAAACTGATGAGAAGTCTATTAGGTTGTCTTCTGTCAGTATTCAAACTTAATTTTTAAGGCAGTATTAACAAGAAAGCAAAACAATAAACCAACTTTTATCTTTACAATTATTACAGATCTGAGTGTTGATGTACTGATTGGTCTCTTGAGAGTAGTCATATCATTCTGTTGGATTTCCAACAATAGTAGGACCTAATAAACTATTTTTATTCCAAGGGGTCTGCAGAGATAGTTTACATCACAAATTAAACTTAGTTGGCTGCTTAATTCAACAGTTTCCACAAACTCCTTGTGCGAATGATAATCATGTAATCGCAAATGAGTAATTTTGAGAGGTTATAGAGGAGTCCAAGTGAGGAGTCTATCAATCAAATTCAACCATGTTGAATGTGAGGCTGTTTAACTACCAATGGTATTGAAAGATGATCCCGCAATGTAGCGAACCGATTGAAGTTAGGGATTTAAACCATCAGGTACCGACTCTGTGGTGATTTATGGACGACCTTAAACGGTTCTAAAACTGGACTTGGGAAGTTTCAGCCACTTTCCAAGTTAAATTTAGAGTTTTCATCACGAACTAACTTGAACTATTATACATGATTGCTTTGTAGCCACATGGATGAGATGAAACTTATACAAAACTTCAGGAGGCTCCGTCTCAAAGTAATTGATTTGTCCATAAAGTGTAGTGTTACTCTCCCTAGTTTTCAGTGATTGTTTAGCTAAGATCAGGTCGTGGTGTAAAATACTAACTAGTTTTGGTCACTAAGTCAAGCGAATGGACATCCTAATGTATTGTGTTTAATGGCGAGAAAATTCCTGATCTATCTACATTCACTGTATATTTCGAATACATTGATGCCGTAAAAGGGTTATGAGAGTGTGATTATATTAATTTTCTAGTGATAGGTTAGTTTCGTTAAATATTACCATCTTGTTTGGTATCAATTATGTACTCATTTGTATTTATTACACAAGATATTTCCCCTTAAATTTCTCAATCCTGGTAGTACGAGACTAATCGCTTAACATTAGTTAATTAATTTGTCAAATTACAAATATATATACTTAAATATAATGTTCACTAACTTGTGTAATTTGATCAAATAATTCAACGTCATCAACCTTTTGAATGATTGGTTCCTTTTCTATACCTTGATAGATTTTATCAGCTTCTTTCAACTGATTAATTTGTTCCATAAAATCTTTTGCTTTATCTCTATACATAAAAAATGCGATGAGATGAAAAATTTGTGCTAACATATCATTTATAACATAAAATAATAAAGCTTTGCCTGTTAGAGGTAGTCGGTAGGAAGTTCCGGCCTCAGATTTCAAGGCACTTGGCACTCGTCACTGGTAACGTTTCAAACTGTTAGGTTAGGGGAGGTGTTATATCCCCTGGTGAATTATGAATTATAACTTTTGAGAACTATTTATCGACCAATGTAATATGTATATTTCCTATTGTATAATTGTTACATAACTAAACTATTCATATTCGTATTATTTTGACCTTTGACTTATTATCATACGATTCTTGAGTTATCATCAGTTTATTGATTACTGTTCCCCCTATTCACAGCCACATTTTGCCAAATCTTGTACAAATGTTATTTTCTATTTTATGGTACGATGTGGTCTGTTTGGTTTGTATATAAACCCAGTATGCTTGTGAATAATGATTCATATTGCCGAGGCTGTTATTGGTGTTCTGGACTTAACTGGTTGGGCTGGGCATATAGCAGGGCCGATACTCACTCAAGACTGCTCGTACGATTTTATGTATCATTGCTCCGATCGATAATTCGCTCTTCTCTCATTGGCGGGGATCAGCACGCTCATATATCAAACAGGACACGCGCAACGTATACGTTATAACAGTAACACGAATTCGAATCTCATAGGCACCATCGATTCCTTCAAGAGTGAGAGTACGCCTTGCTGATGAGTGCCAACTAGCACAAAATCTGGATCAAGCAGAGTTTCTTACTGACTACTTTCAACCATTTAACATTTCAACATAGTGCACGTGATGTCAAGTCAGTTAGACTAGTGGCCATGTTGTAACTTTACCGACTGAATTCAATAAACACTAAATGACCAGATGAACATGACATGGGTCACCAATCAACTGTAAACAGTTTTACCTCTGATAAATTATAAAATGTTTCAAAGTATATGTGAAACATTAGTACGACATAACATTTTATTTGTTCAAATTATAGTCATTTTTTTATAACCCAGTATTCACTTCAAAGGCGAATTAAATATGTAATTCGTAGAGACAAACGACACAAGTCTCATCAAGATTTTTAACAAAAGATTAGGTAATATCGAACTTGAAAGTTCCAGTGAACACGTCATCGTGTTATCTATGTCTCTCAAAAAGGTCAACAGAGAAATTTAATTTAAGATAACTGTATCAGCCTGATAAAATCTGCCTATAAGTATGAATATTGCTCGACTATTTATATTATGCACCAGTCCATTTCATCAAAATAACCATTAACAATTCACAGAAATTGAAAGATCAAAATTTCAACTTATCAGTTTCCCAGTGAAAACCTTGAAATATTCAAAGCAGTTCATGAAATTGTTGAGCAAATGAGAATGTTAATACAAATAATCATTTATACACAACATTCTCTCTCAACGTACTTACCTAATGGTTTCAGCACGTCTTAATAAATTCACAGAACGTTGACGATCCGACTCAGTTTCGGCTAAAATATGTTTAGCTTTATCCTCTAGGTCTATAGCATATTTTTCTAATTGTTGGATTATCTGTTCTGCTTCATATAGACTAACATTCAATTTTGCATTTTGAAGTGATCTTAAAATCTAATAAAAACATAAAACGAGATGTTTTAGAGGGATAAAAACACCATTTCTTCTACTATTCAAGATCATAATGACTGTGAAAAAATAACCTCTGAAATTTAAGGATATATAGGTTACTTGCAGATTGATCACAAATATTTTCAAACCGTTGTTCACGTATAATGGAACCATCAATTGCATGATAAGAAAATTTGGTTTACGAGATAAGATAGAGATGATAAATTAGTTGGTGAGTTATTGAACTTTCGTCAGTTGAAGCAATCGGAACATATCTCATGGATATTTTGAATATCTTACAATTTCATATTACTTAGATAATTTTTCTAAAACTTAAAATGTAGTTGAAACCATCTTTGTCTTATTCTTAGATCTTCCAATTTATCTACATCTACTTTATTGAGCTCCTCCAAACGCCATGGTACGACCGAGAGTGCAGAACGTCCGCTCTCCCTCTCGAAATGCTTTCATGTGGTCACGTGCATACAACCACTGTTAGTGAAGCTCTACTCACTGCCTTGTCGAGGTGAGGTTGTTGTCTACGAAATTGGGACAACGGAAAGAGAATGTCCAGTGCTTTAACCGGATTGGTGGACATGGATGATCCACCTAGGGGAGTTCGGAAACTTTGATTCCAAACCAATATTGCACATGGGCTCCAGTATCCTGAGGGAACAAATGGCGCACGAGTCAATCGTTGGTCACTGGCAACCATGGGACTGCATCTCCACATGATGTTTCACTACCTTGTGGATCAGACCTTTAGGTTGAAGGCTCTGGATGTGGCTCCCTTAGGAAACTACTTGCTTCGGTCTGGGTACCGGGCGGTATCACAGCCCACACACAAACCAAGTTACTTGTGTGACACATACATATTCGGTGCTCCTTTGTACAATATTTATGTGTTCAAATAAATAAATAAATAAAACTTTATTGAACTGAAAATTGGTATTTTTTTTTAAAGAAATTCATGTGGAACTCAATACAACTGAGTTACACTTACAAAGTGAATAATCTTTTACATCATTTCCTACTAAACAAAATATCCTAATAGTCAGCATATAGTTTTATGTACAAGTGAATCAGCCTTTAGATCTAATACTAAGTGCATATAGATTACTATGTTCAATATAGGTATAATACACTGTAAATATCGTTTTGACTATATTAGTCAATTATATAATATGATTTTGTAATATCGTAACTAATTGTTATTTTAATACTGAACTGTATTCACTTCTTCTTTATAAAAAACTGAGAAAATAAACTAACTTTTAGGCAATATGCTAATAATAATTAATTTAGTGGTATTGTAGTGAACGAGAACACAAGTGGGGACAATCAAATGTCACAAGGGAGTTTGGTGAAGATTTTAGTAATTTTATAGAGTTGAGATCGTGAGTCATTTGAAGTTAGAACACCATGGAAAACCTGGAAGCACTAGACGGCCGTTTCGTCTTATTATGGCAATCCGCAGCATTGGGCATTCACGATCCCGCCCCACGAGATTCGAACCCAGGACCTATCAGTCTCGCGCCAGAGCCCTTAACCGATAGACCACTGAGCCGGCATGCAACGGCGTTATTGTCTAATTTCAACCAGTCCATGAAATTGAGCAACCATTCACCAATTATCTTCAGTGAGTTGATATCTCACAACAGACCTGGTTGAACTCCACTGGTTACTGCTTCTTACTAGAACTTCTGATATTCGTCTTGATTAGTTCATCATCTGATCGTCCTGATACAATGTTAATGACTGACTAACTAACAACATAAGTTTCATGAAGTGAATAGTAACTAGAAAATTAATTAACAAGACAATATTAACATTAATTGGCATCTACATTTCTTAGATACAAACAGTCATTATTATGATTATTATCAATAATAATCTATAGTGATGAAAATATAATGAATTCAATATATTTGACTTACTTCATCGAATTTATCTTGTCGCATACTACTATATAGATTAACATATTTTTCAGCTTCATTTATTAAATGATTTGTAAGATTATACATATCAGCTATACGTTCTTTTATATCTATTGCTTGAGTAGTTAAATTTGTTACTGTTTGTTCAGCAATTCTACGACTTGAATTTACCTGTTATATGATAATGATAAATGGAATTATTATTAGTTTCGTTATTTTGTTTATTTTATAATGACAAGATAGATTATGTAAAGTGTAAATATCCGACCTTTTAAATAAGAAAATTAGAATAGTTGAAATCATGAATTAATTGAAGCTAGACTATCATGGATAACCTGGAAACATTGGATGCCAGTTTCGTTCTATTGTGGGACTCCTCAGCGTTGCGCATCCATGATCCTGCCTAACGAGTTTCGAACCCAGGACTTATCAGGTTTTCCATGATGGTCTAGCTTCAATTGACTAATAATTTCAACGATATAAAATTACTGAAATTTGCACAAAATCCCCTTATGACATCAGTTTGTTATCATAAGTTTTACGACTGTGTGAGTTTTTTTTAAGATTTCATTTAGTTTTCTCTCGATATCAACATCTGGAAATGTATCCCGATTTATGTATTCTTTTGTTTGTATGAACTAGATTCAATCATATGTCAAGAATATATATGCATAGTATTAAATGACATTCGATCTAAAATATCAAAAAAATCTAAAATATCCGATTTTGTGTACTTCTTACAGAAGTAGTTCGTTCTTCGTAAGACTTGATTTTCCCTGGAGCAATTATTTATACAATCCAATATGCGCACATTGTCAAGGAGTCACAAAGTAAAATTCAACATTTATGTTGTTATTTATCGTTGACATGATTCTCAAAATAATTTCAATCAGTATTAAACTTATAAGCAAAGATGGATAGTGGCTAGCAGCGGGATCCAGTTTGACGCCTATTTGGGACTCGTCAGCTGGATATACTTGCATCTAGGAGTTGATGTTCACTCTGCACATGTGCCAATTAGAGACTGACCAGTCCTAAACATCAATGGGAAGATTCAAACAAACAATACTAAGTGAATTTAGTATTAAACTTATTTTTTAAGTTTTCATCACCGAACTAATGAAATAAAAGTTTTAAGAAATACCCATAACTTTTGTGATAATCCAGTACGATCCTGAAATCTATTGAGAAATTATTTTCAAACATGAAGATATTTTCATACATAAATATGAGTATTTTATTCGATCTAACTATACTTACTTACTTACTTACGCCTGTTACCCCTCGTCGAGGAGCATAGGCCGCTCACCAGCATTCTCCATCCAACTCTGTCCTGAGCCTTCCTTTCCAGTTCTTTCCAGTTACTATTCAGCCTTTTCAGATCGGCTTCTATTTCCCGGCGTAGTGTGTTCTTTGGCCTTCCTCTTTTCCGCTTCCCTTCCGGATTCCAAGTTAGGGATTGAGTCGTGATACACATTGGTGATTTCCTTAATGTATGTCCGATCCACTTCCAACGTCTTCTCCTAATTTCCTCTTCAGCTGGAAGTTGGTTTGTCCTCTCCCATAAAACGCTGTTGCTGATAGTATCCGGCCAGTGGATGTTGAGTATTTTGCGTAGACAACTGTTTATAAATACTTGAACCTTCCTGATGATGGCCGTAGTAGTTCTCCACGTTTCAGCTCCATACAGTAGGACTGTCTTGACGTTCGTATTAAAGATTCTGACCTTGAAATTGGTTGAGAGTTGTTTTGAGTTCCATATGTTCTGCAATTGTAGAAATGCTGCCCTTGCTTTGCCAATCCTCGCCTTTACATCTGCATCAGATCATCCTTGTTTATCAACGATGCTCCCCAGGTACTTGAATGTTTCCACCTCTTCCAGAGTTTCGCCGTCAAGTGTGATTGGGTTGGTGTTCTCCGTGTTGCATTTGAGAATCTTGCTTTTTCCTTTGTGAATGTGGAGACCTATCGATGCGGAGGCTGCGGCTACATTTACTGTCTTCATCTGCATTTGGTCGTGTGTATGAGAGAGGGGGGCTAGGTCATCTGCGAAGTCCAAATCATCTAATTGATTCTGAGCTGTCCATTGTATTCCGTATTTCGCTCCAGATGTCGAATTCTTCATAATCCAGTCAATCACTAGAAGGAAGAGGAATGGGGAGAGTAGACAGCCTTGTCTGACTCCAGTCCTTACTGGAAATGCATCTGTCAGCTGACCTCCATGCACCACTTTGCACTGTAATCCATCGTATGAGTTTTGGATAATGTTGACAATCTTTTCAGGAACTCCATAGTGTCGAAGAAGTTTCCATAATGTTCTCCTGTCCACGCTGTCAAACGCCTTCTCATAGTCAATAAAGTTGACGTATAGTGATGAGTTCCACTCAACTGATTGTTCAACGATGATCCGTAGTGTCGCAATCTGGTCTGTGCACGACCGATCCTTACGGAATCCAGCCTGATGATCCCTTAGTTCGGCGTCTACTGCGTCTTTCATCCGATTCAGCAGCACTCTGTTGAAAACTTTTCCTGGTACTGATAACAAACTGATACCTCTGTAGTTCTCACATAGGCTCAGATCTCCTTTCTTTGGTATCTTGATGAGATATCCTTCTTTCCAGTCCGTTGGCACTTGTTCCTCTTCCTAAATCTTTTTGAATAGAAGGTGAAGCATGTTTGCAGTTATTTCAATGTCTGACTTCAGTTCTTCTGCTGGTATATTGTCAGGTCCTGCCGCCTTCCCACTTTTGATTTGTCTGATGGCCATCTTGACTTCTTCGATCGTTGGTGGAGTGACATCTATTGGAAGGTCTGTGTGGGCTGCTTCGATGTTCGGTGGATTCAATGGGGCTGGTCTATTCAGCAGTTCCTCGAAGTATTCTGCCCATCTTTTCCTCTGTTCTTGAATCTCAGTGATTGTCTTTCCTTCTTTGTCCTTGACTGGTCTCTCTGGTTTGTTATATCTCCCTGCCAATTTCTTCGTTGTATCATATAGTTGTTTCATATTCCCTTCTCTTGCAGCTTTTTCCGCCGTCGTTGCTAGTTCTCCCATGTATTTCTGCTTGTCGGCTTTAATGCTTTTCTTCACTTGCTTGTTTGCTTCTGCGTAATCTGCTTGTGCTTTGACTTTATCTGCTCGTGTTCGGCTGTTGTTAATTGCTAGTCTCTTGTTCTTCCTTTCTTGAATTTTGTCCAGGGTTCCCAGAGAGATCCATTCCTTGTGATGATGCTTCTTAGGACCAAGAACCTGCTGACACGTTGAAGTTAGTGCTTCTTTGATCCCTTTCCAGTTGTCCTCCAAAGTAGTTTCTTGTTCTTTCAGTAGATCCTGTAGAGCTTGGAACCTGTTGTTGAGAGTTATCTTGAATTCATGAGCTTGTCAGCATCTCGAAGGAAGGCTGTGTTGAATCTTTGTAGTGCTGTTTGTCCAGTTGTCCAGTCTTTCTTTAGCTTCAGTCTCATCTTGGCCACAACCAGGTGGTGATCTGAAGCTATGTCAGCTCCTCTCCGGGTTCTCACATCTTCCATTGATCTTCGGAATTTTTTGTTGATACAGATGTGATCTATCTGGTTCTCTGTGGTGTGGTCCGGTGAGATCCATGTAGCTTTGTGTATGCGTTTGTGTGGGAATATTGTGCCGCCTATAACCAATTTGTTGAAAGCACATAGGTTTGCAAATCTCTCCCCATTTTCATTTCTTTCTCCTAGTCCGTGTCGTCCGATTACATCTTCATATCCTGTGTTGTCCACTCCAACTTTAGCATTTAGATCTCCCATCAGGATGGTGAGGTCCTTTCGTGAGCACTTTGCTACAATTGATTGCAGCCTTTCATAGAACTGATCTTTATCATCGTCGTTGCTATCATTGGTGGGTGCATAACATTGGATAACGTTCATTGTGATCCCTTGCTTCTTTGTTCTGAATGATGCTTTGATTATCCTGGGTCCATGAGATTCCCATCCCACAAGTGCATTTCTTGCTTCTTTGGACAGCATTAGAGCAACTCCCTGAGTGTTTGGAGCATTTTCCCCTTCGTGACCGGAGTACAGCAGCATCTCTCCTGTACCTAGCCTTTGTTGTCCAGTTTGTGTCCAATGGGTTTCGTTGATTCCGAGTACTGCCAAGTTGTATCTCCTCATTTCCATTGCTATTTGACTGGTCTTTCCTGTCTCCCACATTGTCCGGACGTTCCATGTACCTATAAAGAGTGTTGCTCTGGTTGTTAGAAGGTGCATCGGTCTCGTGACTTCCGAAGAATTTCGGCTTTCATCATGAGACGTCATTATTCCTTCAACTCCCAGGGCAGAGTTTAAATGGTTTGAATTATTTTTTCTGGCTAGCGTTTTTTAGCGAGTTAACTTTTCTACGGGATGGGGTCGCTAACCCCATGCCCAACCCTCCTCCTTTACCCGGGCTTGGGACCGGCAGTAACTCTAGAAGAGCTACAGGCGATCTAACTATAGTTTAACAAAATCAACAGATGATGGAAATACCAACCGGAAAAAAATTAATTCCTTATTTAAAAGAGAAGTTTGTCCTGTGATTATGTTTGAAAGATACCTGCTCCAAAATAACTCGTCAGCAATTCTTTAAAAGAGTTAAATTTTGTGAAATTCTGTTCATAAATAGTGAAAATTTACAAAATATGCAAACTTGTTCGTTAATCTATTCGAACGAAACTTTAGGAGGAAATACTAGATATCATTTGCTGAAAGTTTAACATCGTATTACTTCATTTCAGCACTGTTTCTATAAGAGGCCATCGTAAAAAAAAACTATGTATAAAATGATAGTAGCTATTTGTGGTTTTACAATCCAATAATTTAAGTCTCATAATATGGACGATACTTTCAAATCACTAAGTGACTAGCTTCAAGATGGATTTTTTAGCCCTTACTGGGTATCGATGAAATATAAACTTGACTAATTCGTAAGTCAAACATTACCACACTATTAACATTGGACGAAGATCAAGTTACATCACAAAGTGACTGAATTTCAAAATATGAGCTTATAGATCTTATTTCAGTGACTGAATAATATTATACTTCCCGTTACACTGTAAAGTATTTGATGCAATTCAGCTACAATAAGAACGAACTTGCAGTAACAGCACACAAATTGATTAAAGCTATTTCAATTGCTTTACCCTCACTAAGTCGGAGGAGTATCAAAAAGCAGCACTTTTCCTATGACTGTGAAGAACTATTAAATAAAACAAATGCGACTCAACATATATATATATATATATATATATATAACTAGAACGGTGAATTGATAAGATTATTTATGCTGATTGAACAAATGGTGAAATTCATTGTTCAATAAGATTATTTCATAACACAGATCAAAATCTGGAGTAGAAAGATCTCTATCTCATCGTTCATCAGTTTTAAGCTAATGGATTATGGGTGGTTGCTGCTAAAGGGTCCTTAATTAAAAACTTTATCTGATTCTCGGTGGTTCTTCAACTAATTCCCAATCAGTTTGCAGCAAAAATTACTTTAAAACTGCATATAATCTTCAGAAATAAGATATAACATTAAAAGTACTTTGTGTTTACTGTGATCAATACATATTTTTCAAAAATCTGGCATATAATTAGTTACCGCATCATTTCTTTAAATAAATTCCTTAGTTTTAATGAAATCAGGTAGTTTATTGATTAATTCATAGTGAAAATGATTTAAAATAAACCATTTAGACAAGTCAAAATTTCGTTCAAGAGAAAAATAGTTGTTCATACGTTACTAGTAGGTGATTGGAATGATTTCATTGAATTATCAAGCAATACGCACAGTATGCACATATGCCAATTAGAGACTGACCAGTTGCAGTCCTAAAATACCAATGAAAAGATTCAAACAAACAATACTAAGTGAATTTAAACTTCACTCCATCGCACAAGCAAGTGGCTATCAGGACTCAGTGTCCGAGTGGATAACGCGATGGCGTTTGAAGCGAAAGATACTGGGTTCCAGTCCCAGGGTGAAAATCAACTCTAAGATGCAGGTACATCCAGCTGACGAGTCTCAAATAGGACGAAACGTGCGTCCTGGATTCACTGCAAGCCACTATCCATCTTTGCTTAACAAATGTTAAGCAGATTATATTCAATTAATGTAACAGTCAGAAGTCGATACAGAGTTTTGTATAGAATATGTATAAACAGCTATTAAGTTGGAAAAAAGTGATTGGGACCTCTTAGTGAGACATAAGCAACTGATTTGGAAAGGATATACTTGTTCTCAATTACTTTGTATATCACATCTTTCATTTACTCTTTGATGTATAGAAAAAGAAACCTAGATTTGTCTATGGAACCTATCAATTTGAATAGAGAATAAATGGACATTTCTAATGCATATATATATATATATATATATATATATATATAACAGTGTTGATGTAAATTTTCCGTTATAATAAAGTAATGAACGGAATCAGAAAAAAAGAACAAAAGAAACAAACAACTATGAACAGTTCTCATTTACCTTCGATATAGCATTTTCAGCTCTATAAACATTATAAAGTGCATTGGTTAAACGAATTTGAAGATTTAAATATTCTTCCATACGTGATCTTAATCTTCCAGCATTACTTGCATTACATCCAGGATTTACACCACATGTACTAATTAAACCAGTATTTAAATTATTCATTAAAATATTTGTATTTGATATTGTATTAAGACTTGCTGATTTTGAAAAGAAATAATCACATCCAGCACCACCACAAGTTGATGGACATACTTTTTGATCTGTATCTTCAGTTGGTGGTAAACCGTTATCTCCACAAATCTAAAATAATACCAAACAGAAAAAGACATGGGGGGGGGAATGATATTATCACTTTTAAAAAATACTATTTATAGATTCTTATTTATTATGCTTAAAAAAGAATAGAGAAAAAATAACACCTCAGATTAACAAAAAATCAAGTAATTTATTAAGATGGGGGAGAAAATATTGAGAATATGAAGTGTATTAAGGTGTTTCCAATAAGTCAGGTTACATATATGTTAATTAAGTGTTGTATCCCGTGGAGAATTATGAATGGTAACTTTGAGAACTACCTATGGACCAATATGATATATATATTTTCTACTGTATAATTGTTAAATAACTAAACTATTCATATTCGTGTCCCTTTTATTATGAGCTTTATTTTGACCTATAGACTATTGTTATACGGTGTATGATTCCTGAGTTATCCCCAGTCTATTGATTACTGTTCCCCCTATTCACAGCCACATTTTGCCAAATCTTGTACAAATGTTATTTTCTATTTTATGGTACGATGTGGTCTGTTTGATTGGTATATAAACTCAGAATGTTTGTGAATAATGATTCATATTGCAGAGGTTGTTATTGGTGCTCTGGGCTTAACTGGCTGGGCTAGGAAGATAGCGGGTCTGACCAGTACTCAAGACAGCTCATACAGCTTTTGTGTATCATAATTCTGATGGATAATACGCTCCTCTCTGATTGGCGGGGATCAGCACGTTCATATATAAAATAGGGCACACGCACGCACTCACACGTTATAACACTAAGTGTTTAGTAAACGTTTGTGTTATGGTATTTGTATTTCGTATTTATCATACGTTCTCTTTTGACTGTTTCGTTTTTTCTCTGTTTTCCATAAATTAAATCTAATTAAATAAAAATGTTTGTAATGTAAAACATTCAATATCGGATTCAGTAGTTTGAAGAATAAGCATTCTCCACGAAGTTTAAAGAGCATGATGGAGTCTTGATTTTGGACTACTGCAGAGTCAACCATATTCTATGACTAAACAAGTATTCATTCTTCAATAATTTATTAACTAAGGTCAGTTAATGGTACAAACTATAAAATAACGATAAATGTACTATTCAAGATCCTATCCGAAATGTACTTATCGAGATCTAGTATTTACGATAAATTCTAGGATTTTTTTAAAACTTAACTATTCACGTGAGTTATGACTTCATATAAAGAAAGTTACATGTATCAATTTATCTGATCTTTTGATTTTCTGTTTGAGAATTTATGGATGTGTGACTTTTCATGGTTCACCAACCGCTGTAAATAGAACTGCTCTGATAATGGAATATGTATTAGTGACGTTTATTAAAAAATACGATAGAACTCACTACTTTAATAAACGTATTTCACCTCAATAAGTTTCGGCACCTTCTATTCTCATTTCCTTTCTATTTGACTAACTTTCTGCATATTATATTATACTACCTACTAATATTTAGTAACTCATGTCATTGACAATCATTTATATGCCACTTCCTTAAATGTAGTCTTTCCAAATGTGTACACGAACTTGGGACAGTCCATTCATTTATTATCTTTATTGTATATCCTTAGCATGTTTAATAGTTACTTTCATTCCTTGTGGATTTATCTAACTTTGTTTATTTTTAATAGGTTGGATATTTTGTGTTGTTATTTCACGTTTCGATTATTGGTAATCGTTGCGGTAATGGCACAGCTACCGGTTGTTACATATTTTTCTTTTTGTTAACAATTTCTATATAGCCATTCTAGATAGAGTTTTCTCTTTGATTGTAAATTGAACTTCTAAACACATTTGACTCCTTTTGAACCGACGTTTGTAAATGAACTGCCTTTGTTCTACTTCATAAAAGTACTGTGATCTCATGTTTTTGAGTTTGGGACTTCTACGCATAACTTCAGAAGTATCGAATGAAATTAATAGAATGTATAAATATAGCTATATTAATACCAAATTCCATAAACCATTTGAGAAAAAATACACTTACTAGTCTATTGGTTTGTCGAATTTTCTCACGAAATTCTTCAATTCTCCTGTCTAATTGAGCCCAATCTGAATTTAACTGATCTGCACGTGTTTGTACAGCTTCTAATTCCCGTTTAGAGTTTAATAATTCAGCTTCTAATCCACCACGTTGATATTCTATACTAGTTTGTGTGTTTATAACTCGATCACCGATATCTTTTGAACGTAGAATTGATAAATATGCTCCTATAAAATACAAAAGTTTATTTAAATTCTTTCATATATGTATGATCATATACATGCTCTACATTGAAGCTGCTTTTTTCTCATGGATTTCAGCAATGCAGTCTAGAAAAAATTGACTTCTATATGATGGTTATTTATTAATCAAATATATGTTAAGTTATTTGACATTATTATAAGGTAAAAAATCAGTTAGTTTATACAAAACGAGATACTGAAACATTACACGTCTCAAAATCTGTGTCGTCACATATTGATTTTAGATCGACACATCAAAGAGTACTGAGCATATTGGTTTGGTTTTTAGGCAGTATTTACCACAGATTGATCTTAGTTTAGGTACCGTTGGAAACCAAGAACAATTATAATCCTTAGCTTATTAGCTACTTAGTCCATGTTTTTTGTGAAGTTTGACCGAGTTGTGACTGGTAAGTTTCAGAAATTTCGAGAGTGGTAAAATCGCCAACAACAGCACTGGATGATCATTACGCTACATTCCTAACTGATTGAAGTTGAGATTGTACCGCTGGATATCAACAAAGTGGATCTAATCGGTTTTAGACTTGCTGATGGATCTGTAGGTTGTGAGTTCGAACCCTGGTGTGGGTAGAAACTTCTGAGTAGACCCTTATTAGGACGAAACATTTCTACAGTGCTGCCTGGTTTTCAATGTTAACTTAGATCAGTCTGTAATGACTATGACCTATACAATGGAGAATAACTATGAAGATAATAATAAATCTCAGAAAGTGAAAATAATCTTGTCGAAGAAGAACAGAAAATTAGAAGAGAAACAATTAAATGCATACGTCAGTGAGCTATTTAAAAACAGAAAAAATAACAAAGATATCTACATTCGCTTTACTACAAATGACCTTGTTATTTCAAGTCTTTGGCCATCACTACCAATTATCTTTCCTAATAGTGTCACCATATAGCAGCATTGATTGAATATTCTCATCCTTCACTTTCAGTGATCTTTGGTTTGGAGCTGTGAAATGAAACGAAGGACCATTGTACAAAATACTATGTCAACTATACACGTTTAGATGTCTTGCTTATATCATGTGTTGTATCACTTTGTAAAACAAAATAAATTAGTCATTTGTATTCATGCTGAGAGTTTCTAGTCCATTCGCACTAACAACAGTTCTACAACAATCGAAGGAACTATAATGTTCACCGCTTCATTTTATTTTGCTAAGTAAATCACTGATGTAGCCCATTTGTAAAAAATTTAATCCGATAGTTAATACCAAGTTGTATGTGTTTTGGTTTTATTACAATGATCTATATTACGTGTTAAAGCCATTAAAAGAATTGTGGCTATTAATTTTCCTATTCCTCGTCTACTATTTCTTCTGTAGCTTAGTTTTATAGACTTGACCAACCATACGTTTGAACCTCCACAATTAATTTTGAGCTGATAAGACATAAGCTCTTATTGGTCGGCTACGATGAAGTCTTTGTTTATTCCTTGTCTAAAGAGAAGTCATCAGCCAGCTTCTAATAAACTCATATCAATCATGATTAATAACCCACATAATAAAATATAATATTGACCACATATCAACATCATCAAGAAAATACTTTAACGGCATAATCACGTCATAAGTAGATGAAAACTGTGCAACAGGTCTGTAGTAAATGAATCGTATTTTATGAAAGGTATAATACACAATAATAGTTTGTTTACCACGAAAAAGCTTACATTTAGGATACCAAAGTACCAAAAATACAAAAATTTAAGTACTTAATAATTATACAACAGAAATATAAACCAGAAGGGGCTTTTGTGGATATTTCAGTATTTTTATAGTTGAAATCATGAGTCAACTGAGGCTAGACCACCATGGAAAATCTGGAAACACTGGATGGTCGTTTCGTCCTACTATGGGACTCCGCAGCAGTGCGAATCCACGATCCCGCATTCGCGATCAATTGACTCATGATTCCAACTATGAAAATACAGAAATATAAACGATAACTTTTGATAGGACATTTTCAAATGTTCAAATTTTTCAATATTCATCCTGTTATGATAGTATTACAAACGACTACTAAATTATAATATTACAATCACTTCAGTTGTGTGATGGCTATGAGGTAAACTCTGTGACAATAAGGTGAATAGCGCAAATGACTAGATCATGTTATAAGAAGAGTTGTTACATTTCAACATTTGTTTTGAAATCATGTAGGTTCACAAACTGAGGATTTCTCATTAATGAACACATCTAGATAACTCCAGTCAATGAGAGAATTCAGAATTGTTTAACATATGTTTCCAACTAAGAGAATAAGTATTATTATAAAAGAGCAGATTAGTGTATAAGATTAATAGCATACATATTTGGCGTCATCTATAGAACAAATTCAGCATTGAAATCAGTTACAGTGATAAAATAAAAAGAAACAACGATTAGTGAAATAAAACTAAGAAGTCTAATTTATAAAACAGACCATATCAGTTATTAGACATTTTTCAACCAGTGATACTTGAAGATGGTTGAGCGATATCACAAATTGATTGAAATTATGAACTTAAACAATTGGATCCCGACTCAGTAGTCAAGTGCTTAATTCTCTCCATGAGACCTGAAAGTCCTAAGTTCGATCCTCGGTGGAGTTGTGGATGATAAGGAATTCCATTCTAGGATGAAACAGATGTCCATTAGTGTTTCTCGGTTTTCAATGGTTGTTTAACTGAGGTTAGTTCATTATGTAAACTACAAAACTCAAGACAAACGTCTTACATAAATAAAAGTAAATTTTTATTTACCTCTTTTATCAAGATGTTCCAATTTCATTGATTCATCCATTATACTTTGCATTTGTGTTTTTAGTGTTTCAAGACGTGCTTTTACTTCATTCACTACTCCTTTACGCTCTAACTGTTGAGCTAATCTCTCTGTTATTAAATCATCCCATTTTACTAAACTGTCAGCGAATTGATCAAGTGAACTTAAACGCATAACAGTTTCTCTAAATAAAGAGGAGTAAAAAAATGAGGTTAAGATGAATAAAAATTAATTTGGATTTCTTTCTATACTTGTGTAAAAGTGTGATGAAAAAAAATGTAATCAATGCAATATGAATAACGTTAGGTTGATGAAAACATTTTAAACGAAAATAGTTTGGTTGACCAACACCAACGTAACGATTGATTCGATACATTTACTTTGGTAAAAAAATAGTGGTAAATCAGGGGTAATAAAGTCAGTGCCTGGAACCGGATAAGCTTCACAGTCTGAAACGTTACCACTAAGTTATTCAGAACCCAACTGACATAGTGTAGACAATTAGATTAATGGCCACACTATAACTTAATCAGTAGAATTTAGTCAGTATCAAGGACTAGGCAAGCATGATATTGGTTGATACTTAGTGTTTAGTCAATATAAGCATCTAAATTCTTCTGGAAGATGGTCACGATCAAAATAGATCACCGATGGCGTTTTGGACCAAAGTAAATCAAATTGGGATTGTACAGTAAGTATCAATCCCCTCAAGATTGAAAGTGTGCCTTGCTGACGCGTGTCGACTGGCACGAAGCCTTGATAAACAAGGATTCCCCAAAAGCCTATCTACACCTCACGAACATCAATTATGACTTTGCAAATGAATATACAAAGTAATCATGCGAAATACCAGATTATTGATAAACAATCGCTGAATGAATTTTTGTGATCATTTTTTGTTCATATATCGTTTGTTAAAATCAGAAATGTTTGTTTTTGTCGGTATACACTACTCCATTGACCAAAAATTAGACGAGCAATCTGTTATGACTAGAACGTTGGTAGAAATCATTCGCTCTATTCACGAATCCGAAATCCGGTTATAATCTCTGCTACTCCCCATATGCTATTCCGTCTTTGCCCTGACGTCCTCAGCCTTAACCAATGAAACGACCCAACCGACACGAATAGCTTCGAGCGAACGTAAGCTTAGCTCCTATTGATCTAATTACATGCAAGCATTAAATTTCCAGCTCTAATCCCGAAAGGCGAAGACAGCAGCCAAGTTTCTATGTTCATCTATTCCAAGTACTAATGTAGACATATCTAGCCACATCACACCATAAATTATAAAGTTATACTTAAGCATAAACAGACCTAAAATGACAGTAAAACCGAGCAAGTTGTAGGTGATTGATTTAGCAATAAATTAGTAATAATAAAATGTACAATAATAGTTCTTGGATCGAATGAAAGTTTGTAATAAACAGAATATACTAACATAATAGTCCAATTGCTTAGTAACTATGAGATAAGCATATGTGTAATGATAATAATAATAGTAATCGTAGTAATAACAATACATATCATAGTAAGCAAAGATGGATAGTAGCTAGCAGTGGAATCCAGGAAGCGCGTTTCGTCCCTTTTGGGACTCGTCAGCTAGATGTATCTGCACCTCAGAGTTGATCTTCACTCTAGGACTCGAACCCAGTACCGTTCGCTTCAAACGCCATCGCTTTATCCACTCATCTATTGAGCCCTGATAACCAACTGCCTGTGCAATGGGGTGAAGTTTAAATTAAATTAGTATTACTTGTTTGAATCTTCCCATAATAAGGCTATATCGAGGCAATACGCACAGTATGCACATATGCCAATTAGAGACTGACCAGTTGCAGTCCTAACACATCAATGGGAAGATTCAAACAAGTAACACTAAGTGAATTTAATACATATCATAGTTTCGACATTTACCGTTTATTCAGTATTCGCTTCACTACAATATCATCATTTAACCAATGTATTATTATTACAATCTCTAACTGGATTTACATTTATTTAACCGGTTAAATAATATACACAATTATGATAATAGGTGATCTAGCTAGCAGTTAATTTATCTAAAATTACTTTAATGGAACAATTCCAGAATGTCATAGAACAATTATTGTATCAAAGTGTTAGGTGTTTCCTTCATACTTTGAATGTCATTACAATAGGACAAGGATATTAATCAAATCATCATTTTATTATGATTATGCTCAAACATTTATAACAAATGTGTGAGTGTGTGTGTGTATTTTTGTTTATTAATAGTAATCGCTTACTCGCTTCGTTTTAATACATCACGTAATTCATTCAATCTTGTATCATCTGTTGTCATCCATGGTACATGTTCAATTTGATCTAATAAACTGACTAAACTATCAAACATAATTTTTAATTCTTTAGGTAATTGTTGACTCGTTTGATTCTGTAAACGATCTAATTCACCTAGAAAAAATAATTTAAAAAAATAATTTCTGGGGGGTTTTGATGTCATTGTGGTGCATGCTACTCGCGTCGATAAATATAAGTATTATGTAACACCAGTAAGAAGTGGAAAACCTGACAGTAGAAGGTTAAGAAGATCGAGTTAAAGAGAACAGAAGGCAAAATAGAAAGGAATTGTGAACATCAAGAAGCATACAGGCTGTGAAGGACAAATGATGGGAATTTACAGATGAAGTATTTGGTGTATGATACTCTGTAATTTTGTATTATAAATACATTAGTTGTCCCCACCTGAGTGTTTGTTCATTAAACAATAATAGCAACATATAGTTTTGTTGTTTTAACTCCTATTGTAGTAATAGTAATGCAGGAGAAAGAAAATGAGAGAAAAAGGAGTTCATGCTTTTAGCATTGTTATCTATACATGAAAGATCTCTTAAAGTCTCATCTTCTCTCTTGAAAGCAATTTATTAACATAGAAGTGTTGTTGTGAATTAGTTATCCGATTTATCTAGTTTGCATAGATTGAGCTTTGTATTAATAGGTTCTGATGATCGTTTGTACCTTGAAATAAATGAGATTACAAAAGCTATGTGTGTGAAAAAGATACAGACTAACTTGAGTTCTGACAAGGAAAGTAGCTCAAATTAGTCAAGATGTTATCTAGTTCTTGGTTTCGATGTGAAAAGCTGTTAAATGTTAATCTTGATAATCTGTTAGACTTGGTAAGTATGTATTTTTCTCATGAAAACTTGATCCAGTAGAGTTAGGCATATATTTAATCTTTTATCGACGCACATCCTAATCAACAGAGTATTTGTGGAAGGCATCTACACAATCAGTCAGCTTTTGGTCTATCATCCTTCAATTTTTACCGGTCAATATCGATCTATAGAGCTTCACACCAGAGAAGACGATTTTTTTATATGTGTTTGTGTCAATAGCCGGAAATTCGGGCGTTTTATATGCAAGACTCTCTGAATATCAGATCGAGTTCTTGCTAGTTTTCTTCATTCTTAAATGTCCGCTGATGTCAGTACACCATTACTAAGACTTAAATTTAACCTACAAAACGTTTGCTGTGGGACGTCAACGGATAATAAACTATATAAGAACACCACTTTGATCCAAGGAGGGGTGGGGGTTATTTTAAAAAGTTATGGTATCTATTTCAACTACTGTTTTGTTACTGAAACTCGTACGTGCATATTATTACTGCAATACGATAAATTAGCACAAAAAAACGGAATAGTAATAGTATTGTGGTTCTTGACATCTCTCCAGATTGTACTTTTGATAAAGGTGATAGGGGATAAAGATAGAGTTTACCAGAGGGACACATGCAATCAGGAAAAAAATCTATGAAGAAAATCGTGAGTTTGTCAGCAGCTCTCCAGAATACCTCCACAGTGCAACTTGAATTCCTCTTAATAGATATTAATTGTCAGCCGTTTACAATTCGACAGGCTTTGAAGATCATAGTACTATCAAAAGAAAGCTATAAATCACTCAGCAGGACCAACACAAGTAAGACGATTCAAGCTGTAATAAATGCGTGTGGAGTATACCTTGGTATTTTAAAGAGGTTACAATGCTGCATTCCCCCTGGTGAAAAGGCATTCAGCAAGTCATGTTTTAGAAACGACGCAGACTCTAATTCCCAATGGTCATTTTATCATCCTGAATAGCGGAATCTATTTTAAGCATTCTAATCTTGTGGAAACATATTTTCATTTCGAATTTTAATTCGAATAGTAAAAATAGCTAATTCTCATGTTGAAAAAAATGTTCAATGGAGACTCCAACAGTTTTCGTCTATGAACTGGACGAGACTCGATGAAAGCATCTGCAAACACTAGTCACCAGTTAACTTATTAGTAAGAAGGAAGTTACGGGTAACAAATCACGCAATTCTCCAAGAGAATGAATCTTTAGTTAGGAGGGTATATAAAATGCGAGGTGGAAGAGGGAAATGCTTGGTTGACTGTGTCACAATAACTCCACAGACTAATCGATGAGCAACAATAGAAGCTGATAGATTCGATCTTGGTATGTTCCAGTCGACCCTAACAGGACTCAAAGGTCTTGTTTTTTATCCATAATCATCAAAATTACCAACTAAGAAAAAGCTGTTACTAAGAAAATGGATGAATCAATGGAAAAGACTACTCCTTAAAAGTGTTATACGATCGTTTTGGTTTATTGCTGGAGATATTAAAATATTTCCAGGACTACAATGATATCAACTAAATAAGATATCACACCTGAATCATTACAATAGTTGTTGTTGTGGCCAACCCCGAAAATGTCACACTCTTGCCCTGTTTCAGTTACTTGTGTCAGTCAGTTGAAGATTCAGCTGTTCTACAAATCATATGAAAATCTACACAATACAGTTTAATTAATTTATTTAAATATATTTCGATAGATATAAAACCAAAATAGACCAAGTGAAATAAAAAGTAGTAATAATTAACTTACTAATAACTTTATCGATTGCTTTATCCCAGTTATTCCAACATTCACCACATGGTACACAATCAGGTAGAATACCTTCAGTACCTCGGTCACATCTGTCGCATCGTTGGCCAGTTATACCCGTTTTACATGGACAGTGACCAGTTAATGGATCGCATAAATCACTTGTTGAACCAACTCGATCACAATCACAAGCTATGGGAAAAAAAAGGAATTTTATTTATTAAAAAAGTGATATGCAATGAACAAGAAAAAAGATACAATTACTTAACAAAAACGCTAAATGTTCTTTAAAGAAATTATTTTCAGTAAATGAGAGTATTAATGAACTCACGTAGACACCTGTCTGGAGTAGTTGGATCGCTATAAAACAGTCTTCTACACTGATCACATCTGCGCCCACTTCGGTCTGGTTTACAACGACATTGGCCCATAACCTGGAATATATCCGTAGTATTATTGGAATTAAATTGTGAACAGTAAATACTAAGTTGAAACTTGATGAGTATAATCTATCTAGCAACAATTTATCAAGGTAAACTAATAAAATTTACTGCTGGAAAATGTAATTGTATAATAGTCATTTATACTAACTAGTATTATGTAGTTGAATATAGTCAGCAGTCAACTCTGCCTAATCTAGATTTCATTCTAGATGGCACTCATTACCAAGGTGTACTTAAAATCTTGAAGGAACTGAGGCTAATTAATTTGAATTCGCGTACTCAACCTTGTGGCTACATTACCACATGATCGATAGAATTTCATCAGCATTAGAAGAAGAAAAGACAAATTTACTATTGATCACTATTCACTAGCTGAAAAATTATATTTACTAACTACTTTTAGAGTTCCGATATAAACCAAAGAAATAAGAAAACATACTTTATAAGCAAAGATGGATAGTGGCTAGCAGTAGAATCCAGGATGCGCCTTTCGTCCTATTTTTGACTCGTCAGCTGGGTGTACCTGCATCTGAGTTAATGTTCACTCTGGGACTGGAACTCAGTACCTTTCGCTTCAAACGCCGTCGCGTTATCCACTCAGGCAGTTAGTTTTGTTATTGATACTATAGTCTACATAAAGTTCAACCTGACAGTTTATTTTCAAAGATACAAAAAACGAAGTCCTATTTAACATGGACTGCCAACCTAGTGTTGTTCATCAGATGTGAAGTGTATATTTGATCTTGAGAAATTCTATACCACTTTGGGAAATTCACAAACTTTAAAGTAGGATTACATTATAAAATATGTGAATAATTTGAGATATTAGGTCGTTTTCTATGATAATTGACATGAAACTGAATAGTTAATTATCTATTGATAATCGTGATGAGAATTATTAGCTTGCCATTTATTTATTGTACAGTATAGTAAGTTCTAGTCTTCTGATCTGAATAGGTCTGAATATACTAAGAATAAAGTTCTTCCTATAAAATGTCCGAACTGATATTCAGTTTTCAGATCACTTTTAGTTGTTACCGCTTATTTTTAGTCCCGACCGTTGCTGCTACCTTGACGTGGTGGTCGGGCTTCCCTATCGTGATGAAGCAATCGAGCTATACTGGCTGGAACAATCGTTCCTCAAGGTCCTACCATGCCAGACAGGTCGATTGAAGAGCGGTAAGACTAAAAGCAGCAATCCCAAGATCCGAAGGCGAAGTCGTACTGCTGACTGTACAGAGGTGTGAAAGCAGTAAGGTGTTTCCTTTAGACAACCAGCATAACAGCGATGGTGCCTTCCCACAAGGAGGGTGGGGTTAGAAAAGGTCGGCCCTAAAAATGCACACCTCGCCTTATCCCACGGATATCCGTCTCTGGCGGTAAAGTTCCAACAAGTACCGGAGCTAACACAAAAACTACCCACAAAAAGGTCGTGTGTGACCGACCTCAAGCAGTTGTCCCTTGGGCACTGCGGTCACGCTCTCAGGTCATTAAGACTATTTCTATCCCAATTTCCTTTTCAGGTACCTCTAGAAGAACCCTTCCACGGTGTGGGCAACCGGGAAGCGATAACTGCCCTCATACCTGTAACAGCACTCATGACCACTGTATTCATAATCAATCTCCTTATTTTTAGTGATCTGTTGATGATTCTGAATGAAGAAAAATAAGCGATGGATATGTTTATAAAGAATTTTCGTTTGTATAGCTAATCATGACAAAATGTCGTAATTGAAATTCAATAAATTACATGTTTATGATGCATCAACTATGAATTGGTACAAATTGTAGCTTCATCAGTATATATATTCTCTTTTAAAAATATAACTTTTAGATAAAGTGAAACTTACCGGATCACATAAATCATCGATTGAACCAGTTGGATCACATAAACATGGTTCACACCCTTTACCAGAAGTTAAGTTGAAAAAATATGGTGCACATTCATAACATCTTGGACCAATCACATTTGGTAGACATGAACATTGTCCATTTTCACGATTACAACCGCCAGCACCTTCATCAATGCTACCTAATGGGTAACAATTGCATGGCTGACACATTTGGCGTGTTGCATCACCCCAAAAACCATCTTTACACTACAAATAAATAGGTGAATACGATAAATAAGTAAGAAAGTTTTAAAATAGTATATTTCTTCTTGTATGTAATGTATATATTAAAATGAGATCTTTGATTAATGTGACCTCATTCACAAGAACATGGAAAACAGGATGGACCAATCATATAAATATGTCAGCTGTATATCCCTTTTGCCAGTGGTATTGTTCACATCACGACTGAAATGCAATACCTTCTAATTTAAAAGTCAACAAGTTATCTACTGATCTACTGAGTTCACGTAGCCACTAACTTTATAACAATATTACTGGAAAATAGATACATTCGAGTAATGCTACCCGAAAATGACTTAATGAACTTCTTGAATTCCACTCTTAGCCATAATCTAAGTACTCCAGAAAGATTGTGATAAAACGGTTGTATCGAGATAAGATAAGTATATATATATATATATATATGAAACAATGATAAACCAAAATGTAGTCTTCAATATTAACAACAGGATAGTTCAAACTCTTGTTAATAATAACATTAAAATTTAAAGTGAAAAAGATAATCATTATTTCAGTAATCATTTTATGTAATAATACACTGGATTAATTTCAAACTTACTACATCACAGTAATAACCTTCTGTATTATGTAAACACTTCAAACATTGTCCAGTGATTGGATCACAACTGCCAGGTACATTAACTGCAATATTTCCAGAACATTCACATTGTCGACAAGAGCCACCAGGTTCAGTTGGATTCCCAAAATAGTTCATGGCACATTGACTACATCTCGGACCTGAAAAAAAGATACATATGTACCACATGAATTAGCTAACAGTGGATTGTATTCTCTTTATATTAACCTCAATTTTTGAATCCTCATCATTGATGAAAATCGGTTTTCCCTTCACCTTCCTTGAATCAGACGATGAACTTGTGAAGTTCACATATGTAGAAGATGAGACAAATATCATGATGATGGTAGCATGGTATCATGAATAGATAAAGGTTAGAAATGTTAACCATTGGATACCAGTTTAAAGATCTGAAAATTAAGTCCCCATTACTATCCCTTGGCGTCCATGATTTAATCCTTCATAAGTTCATGAATGCGTACTTCTGAAGTCTTATGCCAAAATGAAACATCTGTCTAATGCTTTCTGACATTTAATTATTGTATAACTACAGTCAGCCTGTTATGCGAAACTACCATATTCAAAACCTCCTATACTAGTAAAAATAAGTTATAATTGTAAAGTATCTTTACAGGTGTCATGTTCGAATTCACTGAACGACTGTTTTGAGACAGCAAGCAATATTTAGCATAATTTTCAACAGAATTCGGCTTGTATTTATGACAGAAAATGTAGAATCTTAGTCTTGCGTAATGTCAGGAAATTAATGAAGACCAAGCTACATTATAGAATCAATTGTAGTGAACAAGAACTCGGGTGAGGACAATAGAATGTATTTAAGCTCTGACTAAAATCTGATAACCATACAGCAAACAGTTAATTTGCAAAATAACAATCAATTGTCTCAATCTTCACTGTTCCTTCTGTAAATATCAGTCCATCTTCTCTAATTCCATTGTTTATGCATTTTCCTACAAATTGCGTTTCATTTCAGTTCTTTTTTTGCGGTCTGCTGCAAAAATACATTCTATGCCTGATCATCACTATGTACTACTTATGTGAATATAAGTAGCCCACACCACGCGAATGGTTAATAAAGTAATAAAGTGACTTTTTTCTAGAAAAAAAATAGACCGATTAATTTGTTAAAAAAATACATAATAATGAGATTACAATAAAACATTTACTCACCTGTGTATCCAACTTTACAAATGCAAATTTGTTCTTCCAATGGTCCCATATGACATTCTTTGGCATGATTTAATCCACCACCTGGACATGAACATGGTTTACAAGGAGTTTTTCTCAAAGGATCACCATAAAATCCTTCACGACATGTTTCACAGTGATCACCGCCAGTGTTATCTCTACAGTTTTCACATATTCCAGTAGTCTATATAATGCGAATATTGAAAAATACATAAAAATCAAATATTTGACTCTAAAAATCATATACTCGAATAATGAAGACTATTTTTGAGCATAAATTTAATCTTACATACATAAAATATCAAATATTCAGTGTCTAGAAAGTTATGAACAATGTTCTCTTGATAAGTAAAGATGGATGGTAGCTAGAAGTGGAATCCAGGACGCACGTCTCGTCCTATTTGGGACTCGTCAGCTGGATGTATGCTGCATCTCAGAGTTGCTGCTCACTCTGCGACTCAAGCCCGGTACCTTTGGCCTAAAACGCCATCGCGTTATCCACTCACCTACTGAGTCCTAATAGCCACCTGCTTGTGGGATGGGGTTCTCTTAAATTTTATCGTCAGGGTGTACACTTCAGTTGAATATAATTTAGTCAAAACCAATAGATCCTGCAGGTGTATGTACGTATTTTTGCACACAAATTACTGAATTGAATAAAGACCATTAGTTTCTGAGTTAAATATTAAAACATTATAATAATAGTTTGAGCCTATTAGGATCAAATACGTATAAAGTGAAGACAAATTTGCAGCAATGTAATTTTATGTATGTCGTAATATTTTGTGAATTATTTAATTTTCATAAATATGAATGTTTATAGTTTAATTCTGATATGCTTGATGCTAATTCGATTTTTCGGTAAACGAACGAAGGTCAATGACACAGTGACATGATAGGCTAATCTAATCCGTTGTCCCAGGTCCCGCTAACTAGAGGAAGAAGTCCAAGGCGAAGTAGGGGAAAATATATTCCGTAAGCAGCCGAAGTACAAGCAATCGTAAGGGGAAAGCCTCAAACGTATATATACAGCGATAAATTGTCCTTGGGCAGCATTACAAAATAGCACACTCAAAGATACAACGGATCAATAGCGTTTAAGATATTTTACAAGTGGGAAATTCGACTGGAAGATGAAAAGAGCGCTTTGGGCGCGGAAACAAAGAAATTCAAATTTTCAAAATAAATTACAGAATTAAGCCATTTACCAAGCAAGTTCTGGGGGATTTAACATCTCCAACAAATTCAGAATCTAAGTTGTAAAATACTGATTCCGAAATTTGAAATTCTTATGTTTTATATCGTGTACAGTTAAAGGTGTATGTTCCCGATACGTCTGAAGCGGTGAAAAAACATCTTCACAACCTTTACTTGTCTTAGATATTCTTCCATCTGATGTCAGTTTAGACATTGCTAGTGGTACATTTTATACCATTTTAAATGAGCTTCAAGCAAAAATCCATACAATCACATGGATTAAGTATGTTCGTAATTTTTAAGTATTGTCAAATGGTGCTTTTACAGAGTCACGTTAAAATCTAAGTGATCCTTGTACTCTAAATCGGCATCGAGAAACCACAGAATAAATGATTTAAAGTGACGTAAATAATAGTTTTTAGATTGTTTTTAACAGCAAGTTAATTATAAAGAATTAGGGATAACCAAGCAACTATCTTATGTTACATTTGAGTTTCTGTTAAAGGGAGTACCACCAACCTTTCTAGAAACTTGGTTGATAATTTTCTGGAATCATGATAAAAACAATAGAGTTTGTCTGTGATTCATTAAGGTATAAGTGGCTCACTTATTACTTTAGTGACTCCACAGTTTATTGTTTCCTACATGTGTTCTCACTGTGAAAATAAAATAATACTTATCTATGAACCATAGTAACACAAATAAAGCTAGAAATTAATTTCTTATTCATTAATTTCTATTACCTGATTACAAAAATCACTAAATTCATTGCATATACATGGACGACAATTTGGAAAATCCCAAAAACCAGGATTACACATATTACAATGTTTACCAACAATTCCTGGTCGACATTCACAAAGACTAGTGTCTTCATGACATTGTAAACTGATAGATCCTTGAGGATCACATGCACAATCTACAAAATAATAGAAATGCTAATGAATACTAGTAAATATTTATATAAATGTGTCTGTAAATATTGATTGTGTCATTTAGCATTAGACTATAGCAGCTCACATACAATTGAGTTTGTTTACATCTAATTTGGCCAAGCCCTTCTGTTAACTTATGTAACGGACGGTCATCCGTAGAGTAACCTATCTTTACTGCTGTAGCTTTATTATGTACGCTTGAGCATTGCTTACTGCATACGCATGTATTCATTCTGCTTGCCTTACTATTAATCGCTTAATTGATTTGATGATTAATGCCTTTCCATTTGTATATATATATATATATATATATATATATATATATATATATATATATATATATATATATCTTAATCATGTTCACTGCACTGCACTGTACTCGCTCATTTGACTCTCTCTCACTCGCCTGCTTTACGGCAATGCTCTTTCATGCTTGCTTAACGTGCATCTAATATTGGATATTTGTGTGTGGTCCAACAATAAACTAAATTAACCCTTCGTATTCGCCTTCTGATTTATACACCGTTAGGGCGTTATCGAGTAACGGTTATCAAGATGAACAATATACGAAGTCCAGGGATAACATCGAATATCGAGCACCACAAGACAATTGATTTTGACAATTGAATTCATGAATTGATCTAAGCCAGACTAACATTGAACGCCTGGAAGCACTGGGCTGGCATTTTGTTCAGAGTTAGACATTTTATTAGAATTTATTACAAGAACTTTCACCCGATGGAAAATTTGTTCTGATTTAATCTTTTGCAAATGGATATATTGTAACTTTTTAATTTCTATTATTAATCATTCATTCATTGAATATATATATTTTCATTTTGGCTCTTAATGGTATATATTACACTAATTACACTTACTATTTAAATCACTGTCTTTGAAATTTTAATTTGCTGGTTACTACTAATTTGTGAATACGTTCAAATTTTACTTCTAGATCAAACTTTTAACCAACAAAAACAGGTTTGATGAGAAGTATATAAGCAATCCCATTAAAGTTTCCTCGTCAACATATCTAACTGATAAATCTTCAGACTGAACTCTTGAACAGGTTTCCTAAGCTCTTCTAATAACCGCAGGCTAAATCTACACGACAATGTGAACGTGAAAGAAAAGACGCGAAATATGGAAAGAACGCATCATTCTAAAGTTAGTTTATTTATAGAAAATTGAGTGTATTTATAGCATTTCAGATGGCCCTTGGCTTCCCGAAGTATCTGGAACCCTACTAAACATAGTAACAAGATAGGTAATCATCCAATCAGAGATGTGACATGTGACTCTTCACTTTCTAAATGTTTCTGAGCAACTTCTTTTGAATGCTGATGGGATAAAATGTTTTCAAGAGTTTTCAGTGCTCCTTTAGGCTTTTTTCGAGGAATTTTCTGGGTCTTTTCATTAGCTGTGGTTCTGGAACATCTACGTATTCATCTGATAAATAAATTGATATCATAGACTATTGTTTTAAGATATTACTTTTATGTACACAAGATTGATTAACAACAACCATAATGATAATTAACGCACCAGTACACCCCCTTGCACTGAAACCATAATGATATGGTGCGCATCGATCACATTGTCTACCAACAACTCCATCTTTACAAGGACATTGTCCAGTTAGTTTATCACATATTTCAGAACGTGAACCAGTTGAATTACATAAACATCCTGGTAGATTAGAAAAAAAATTAACGTTAAGAATTATTGAAAATAGTAAAGTTTATTATTTTTCATTTATATAAAGGATAAATAACAACGTGTTTAAGTGACCCTTTTCATTGTTTTCTCTTACAATTGTATTAACCACTAGTTTTCGAAAACTATCTTTTTCCCTCTCTTCTACTCTGTTAAAGACTTAATCCCGTTTGACTTTTCTACTTTTATCATTTTTCTGTTAACATTTTATTTCACTGAACAGATTATGTGTTCAGAATTTTATACTGCATCACTTAGTAAGACTAGGATCTGTTGATCCTTCAAGACTTCTTGTTTGTAGTCCTAGAGATAATGTAGCACAATGCTTTAAAACATTATCAGACATGGTTCAGAATAGGACCCAGTGGTAATTCTGATCTAACTTCCTTCTAATTTCTTCATATATGGGGAAGGGATTTACTTGACTGGAAGAATCCTGTCCGGTTATAATTTTCGTAACTGAACTGCTTCTCCTAATATTATTTTTATTATTCCATTCTAATACACTAATTTCTATTCACCTTTGTTATTTTTTTATTGCACTGATCTTCCTTTATCTTGTTACACTCTAATTCATATTGAGTTGCGTTTACATATTTTGGTGCTTCCGTTGACACACAAAACTTATTGATTACTTCAAGGAAATTTATATAATCTTAATTAAAGTAATTTGTAATACTTTTCATAGTTGAAATCATGAGTCAATTGAAGCTAGACCACCATCGAAAACCTGGAAGCACTGGACGGCCGTTTCGTTCTATTATGGGACTCCTCAGCAGTGTGCATCCACGATCCCGCACTCACGAGATTCAAACCCAAGACCTACCAGTCTCGAGCCAGAGCCCTTAACTGATAGACCACTGAGCCGGCATCCGACACCGATATTTCTGTAGGTTATTAGTGTTTACACATTTCCTAATCAACTGATACTGGCTGATTTCTTTAAATTCTAGTATTGAATACGAATGAACTCAGTGCCATGAATATCACTTGCTGGCAAGTATTGACAAGCAGCGAATCTAGATCAAGCATGATTTTGAATCTAATGAAGTCAAACTTCTAACATGTTAGAATTCAAGTGGAAAATTAAACAAAGGGAATAAAACAGTAAACTAACTTTGTGCCACAGAACTGCTCTCTTTCCAACTTAAACGTGGTAAACGGAAATAGACTTCACATTCTGGTGGTAATCCTGTTCTATCTTCACGACGACCAGCTAAGATCTCCATAGCAATTTCACGATAGACTTCACAACGACGTGCCAAGTCACTGTCATCAGTAGGTATCAGTATAATCTATAGTTTGGAAATAGAGTGAATGATTAGTTAACAGTATTGGTCTTTTCACTCAAAGTTTTAAATTTATTTACAAATTGATTGAAGTTAAAATTGTATCACCAGAAGAGGAGTCAGTGGTGCTAGTGATTAAGTGGTCGCTGCTAGACTTCAACGTTCTGGGTTCATTTTCTGCTGAGGCCACGATTACACACTACTGAGAAATCTAGTATCAAGGCGAAACAACGAGTCACTTTAAAATCCGACAAACTATTCCAAAAACTAGAATCTATTCGGCATATCAGTGTGAATGGCAGAAATTAATGATCAATGAATGTTTTGTTATATCTGTTGAATGATAAGTTATTGTCATATCGCATGGTTGAATACCTAACATATAAATAATAGTGTATAGTGTATACATTCAAATCCGGTCAATCGACTGACAGCTCCGTTTTCTAAAACCCATTTTGTTAATATTTGGATATCAATTCAGAGACAAAATCACAGCTCGAATTAATTCAGTCAATTCAGAAGTTCAGCTATTCTACAATGTTTTTACAGTGCTAACAGAAATAATACTTTATTGAGGTCATGAAATGATCAATGTTACACCGCCATTGAAAGCCTGGGAGCACTGGATGGGCGTTTCGTTCAAGTATATGACTCATTCGGCGATGCGGATTCATTATAAAAAAACTTCAGAATGAAGACCTGTCAGAAGCATCTACCTTCGAATGTTTGATCTATGAATACTTAGATGAAAATTGATCCACTTAAGTCAAATAAAATACAGATAGATTTTTGTAGTGCTGGACGTAAAATAGGAACTATTGAAACGGGGATTTTGTCTCACTATTATAACCATGAATTCAAATACTTCATCTACTAACATCTAACTACCTTATACGATATGGGGACAGCTAAACCTAACTTCTGTTTAATACTGGTAACCTCAAAGATCTTATTAATATTTACAAAGATATAACCAGCTTGAGATACACTACAATCATCATTCAGTATTACTTGCTTACGCATATTACCTCTCGTTGAGGAGCATAGTTCACCCACTAAAATTCTCCATTAAACTCTGTCCTGTACAATCCTTTCCAGTCGTTTGCAGTTGCTATTCATCCTTTTGATGTCTGTTTCCGACTCCCGGCGCAATGTGTTCCTTGGTTTTCCTTCTTTCTTTTTCCCTTTAGGATTTCAAGTTAGCGCTTGACTCGTAATTTGCGAAACGTAAGTCCTATTCCGTTCCAGCGCTTTTTTCCAATTTCCTCTTCAATCAAAAGCTGGTTTGTTCTCTTCCACAGTACACTGTTGTTAATTATATCTGGTCAACAAACATTGAGTATCCTGCTTAGACAATTTTTTATAAATACTTGTACATTTTTGATGATGGTTGTGGTAGTTTTCCAAGTTTCAGCTTCGTACAGGTGAACTATCTTGACGTTCGTATTGAGGATTCTGATTTCACGTTGGTTAACAACTAGTTTGTATCCCTTATGTTCTTCAATCGTACGAACTCTGCCCTTTCTTAACCAATCCGTGCCAGTCTGTGCCTTGATTTTCCCTGTTCTTGTTCTACTGCTGTTAAATCCTGTCTTCATGTTCTTCGTTTCTTGAATCTTGTCCAGGGTTTCGATAGAGTTCCATTCCTTATGACGATGCTTCTTGCGGCCCAGGACCTATTGACACGTTGAAGCTAGTGCTTCTTTGATCTTTTTCCATCTTTCCTCCATAGTAGTTTCTTTTTTCACTAGATCTTGTAAGACTTGTAACCTGTTGTTGAAAGCTATCTTGAATTCGTTGACTTTGTCAGCATGTCAAAGGAAGGCTGTAACAAACCTTTGTAGTGCTTTCTTTCTGGTTGTTCAGTGCTCCAATAGCTTCAGCTTCATCTTCGTCACAACTAGGTGGTGATCTGAGGCTATATCAGTTTCTCTCTTTGTTCCCACTTCCTTCATTAATCTTCTAAATTTTCTAGTGATGCAAATATGATCGATTCGGTTATGTGTAAAGTGATCTGGTGAAGCCTATGTAGCTTTGTGTATGCATTTGTAGGAGAATATAGTGTCGCCATTCAGTATTATTGCTGAATATTCAAAGAGTTCTTCATTGGTTTATGATGATATGTTTGTTAGTGTTTACTCATCTAGCCTGTTAATTTGTAATTTTTGAACCATGAAGTGTATATTTAACAGGAGACAACAAATCAGCATACATAAAGCTCAAGTTACCATAATAAAAGATATGCTTACATCAGTAATTAGGATTTCGGTAAATGCTCCTTCTGGATACGATTCAGGAACAATACGTAAAACGATTGGTAATCCAGGTTCCAAACAGACATCTGATATAATAACTTTGTGAGTGTCTGAAAAAGTAGTAATCGATACAAAAATGTCATAAAACTTAGGAACACGAAAAGTTAAAAATAATTTTCATTTATTTTCAGTTGAAAAGTTGTTGAAAACTGTAGAGCACTGAGCAATTATTCTCGTAAGAATCTTTTCGTTACCTGAAAAGATAACTATAATTGTGAAGTAGAAACCAATTGGTGACAAAAGGGTGAGAATCACAGTTTATGGGAGAGAATAACTGAAGTTTGCAATGTACACAATTGGAGCCCAACATTTCGATTTGGTAGTTTCGTGATAGCTCCTAAACATAATGGGTCTTGTGTTAGACACAATGAGAAGAGGTGGGCACACATTTCAATTATACGATACTGCCTAATCTTCAGTAAATCTCTAGACGATATATTTTCAGGTGTGGAAATAATTACTAGAAGTATACAAAGTCGTCACAAAACTACCTGAATAAACAAAATATTCGTCCTAGTCAAACATGCAGAAAACTTGTTCTATACAAAACTCAGTACATTATAATTAAATGCTGATTTCACCAATAATAATCTAAATACTGAAGCAAGAACCAAATAAAAAAATTTAAACAGAAGTTAGTTTCGTTCGTTCTTCCACACTCGGATAAATCTGTTCACCACCTTTGTATCAATGAAATTTTCAAAAGGCGGAGCTATACTACTTACAAGTAGTTAAAATTAAACTACTAAATTATTCTAAAGTGGTGGTTTACATATATATAACATAATTTTTCAGGTGATATCAGTGGGATTTACTGATAAAAGTTAACCTTGAGTAACATATGTTTTTAGGAACTTATGACTGTTAGTATAGTAGCCTTAAACTAAGTAGATGAAAGGCGACACAATATTACAATTTAGTGGTTGTAATTCCAGTGTTACATCTGTTAAGTCAGTAATTACGACTGTTATTTAAATAAGGAATTTGTTACAGAATAAATGCTTAAATAAAGTTCACTTTATCAGTTTACATTTCGTTATGTAGTCCAAGCACAATCGTTTTGATTAACTGATAACAAATTATGGAAAGCGAAGTCAATAACCAAAAGGTACAGTACTTTGGTTTGTTTTTATTGTAGGAACTTTTTATTCCAGGGTGTCGACTTGTTTCAGAATTTAAAACAAACTTATTGAGCTTTAAATAAGTTTTCAAGATTATTCATGAAACAGAGGTGGATGGTGCCTAGCAATGGAATTAAGTACTCGCGTTTCGTTTCATTTGGGATGTATTTTAGATTTATCAACATCTCAGAGTTGAAATGCACTTCGGCATTTGAACCTAACACCATTTGCTTTAAACAATATCTCGCTAACCACTTAGCTACTGAGTTTACTTAAACTGAATATAAGGACTAGGTGGAGGTACATCCTGCTGACTCGTCCCAAATAAGATGAAACGCGCGTCCTAGATTCTATTGCTAGCCATTATCCATCTCTGCTTAAAAATGATAATGACTTAATATCAATATTGCGGCAGTCCGAACACTATACGCATAAGCCATTAGAAACTGATTAGTAGCAGTCCTATACGTCAATGGGAAGATCAAAGCAACCAATTTATAGTATTTATGAAACTGAGAAAACTTGTATCAATGACTGTCGTTTGCCCTCAAATTATTATCTAAATAAGTAAATTGAATATTGCCCATATGAGGGCATCAGTCATCGAGCCCATAACAAAACCAGAATCAAAGATGAAAAACCTACGATCTCCATGAGTTTATTCGCAACGTTCGATTTCTCACGTAAATTCTTACATCTATAAAAATCCCGTCAAAACGCCATGATAAACAGATGAATAGTCACAAGTACCTTTCTTTATTTAAACTTAAAACTAATATGAATATATGAGACAAAAAACTGGATCACAATGGATCACGAAAAATACACTTAATATGGCAAATAACTAGGTCATTTTTGGAAAACGTCTGAATGACACATTAACAGTTATTTGAATTTACTCTAGGGACAGTTACTAATAAACCGAATAGTAATAATAGTAATAATAATAATATTAATAATGAATATTGAATAAAAATACTATAGAACAAATGTTTAACAAATACTTATCATAAACTTATGCAAACTAAGACTACCTTGGTAAGTATCATATTTTCCTTATCATATCACATTTCAATCACATACCGTTCTGATTGAGAGTTCGTAATTTTCTAGTGTTGATAATCAAAACTTCAGTTGATCAGTCTATATTGCCGTGTACACATCCTGAACAGATTGCTTCGATCTATGGTTGTCACAGCTTTTAGCATACATAGTATGTAGCAAGCAGTGAAATCCAGGATATGTGTCTTATATTATTAGCGATTTGTCAGCTAGATCTGCCAATATTCTAGTGTTGATGTTTGTGTCTCAGTGGATACATCCAGCTGATGAGTCCTAAGCAGGAGAAAATATGATCTCCGAATACTTCTCTTAGCCACATACCAAATATAAATACTATTTTAAAAAAAGTTTTTTTTTGTATTCAGAATCACTTTTCGATCTCAACAGCTAAAAATCGGTAGGTTTTCTGAGTTATCTTAATGTTTGCAACTTAAATTATAAACATCTCATATATATTTTAATATTCATGTTGACCATACCTTGATAAATATTAACACTTTGAGGTGGATTCTGACATTTTGTTGCACCATATTGAAAAGGTGTTACAACGATTGACCATCTATCACCAAAACCAAACTAGACATTCGAAGAAAAAAATGATAAAATATTTATGCATTTGAAATTTTCAAGAAATTCAATCAGATAAGTAACACCTCTTATCAAGAATCTAATTTCAGTTGAACGATTCTTTGAAAAAACAAGTTATTAATTTTATTTATAGTAGTCATTCTTTAATTTATAGGTTGTAGTGCCGTGCCTCGCTGATCGTTCAACCTGATAACCGTTATAACACAAATATTAACGAAGCATAAAGTCAGAAGGCAAAGAGAAGCGGCAGCTACAGTTTTATTGACAAATGACGCAGGCCAGAAAGTTATAGGCACATGAGTAAATATCAGTGAGCGAAACAAAAATGACACGCATTGGAGATGGCGGGTAAGCCAATTCACTTTATTCAAGCGCTAACCAACATTTATAGTCAGGCTAGAATAAATAACAGACATGTGATAAATAGGATAAGAAGTGTACACACACCTACGCTCATATAAAAATGGTCAGGGTTAATAAGTGAATAAATAACAAGATCAAAACATGACTCATGAAGGATAGGTGAATTGGCTTGTCCAGAATCTGGAATAAAGTATATGAACTTAACATAACAACAGATACTACAAGGTTAACAGAAATATTTCAGATAATTGAAATAAATATTGATATAATCATGACTTCATATACTGATTACTGATTTGATTAGTTCATATGGTATACCATCGAAAACTTGGAAGCACAGGACGTCCGTTTCGTCCTACTATGGGACTCCTCAGCAGCGCGCATCCACGATCCCGCACTCGCGAGATTTGAACCCAGGACCTACCAGTCTTGCGCCAGAGCACTTAACCGATAAACCATCGAGCCGGTATCCAATTGACTCATGAACTCAACTCTATAAAATTACTAAAATCTCCACCAAACCCCTTCTCATATGGAATAGACAGTTTTGTCTTCAATCGAACTAAATAAGATAATTGTTTATTACCAACTGTATTATAATATCAAATCTTTCAAACAAACTACATATCTTCTATACAAGAAGTTATCGAAATTGTTTTGGCTCATGGTGGCCTCAATTTATCGAACATAATTATCGTATTTTTTTAAAGCATAACTTTTATGACTAGGAAACAATCTACTCGCCAATGACAAATTTGTGATAGTGCAATTTTAAATTCTACTCAAGTTTCTGTACTTCAAAAGATCTGGATGGATTCACTGAATCACTGTGAATTACGTATTCAATCTGACAATCATTACATTATATTTTGGCATAATAAATTGTTTACTTAATTTGATCTTAATGATAATATAGCTGATAAAACTCATGTATAACTTTGAATAAACTTTTGCTATAATTTTTTAACTATTTTTATCAGTCACTAGCTAGTATCTAATATAATATCGTCCAGTCATATAGACCTAACAAAGCCTATCTACTAAGTTTACAATAGACCTAGGTGGCCTTATATCATGGTCTACTTATTTTGTTGGCAAATATTCAATGCTGATGAGAATAGTTGTTTAGAATAGATGGAATATGGTGAGAAGTGGAATCCAGGACGTGTACTCTGCCCCTTATAGGACTCGTCAACTACTCTATATTAACTTTTATTATAATTGGCTATTTCGAGATAATCCTCAAAAGATGTCCATAAGGCAACTAACCCTGATACAATTTCAATTAAAATATTAACAACGTGATAATCTAAGCCATTTCAAACTGAATGAGAAAAGTAATCGTTTGAATACACCATGTTAGCTTCTATACGTTTATAAACTGAAGCATAGCAATTATAAAGATTATTTCGAATTGTCCGTTCTTTTTTTATTGGAATGTAGCTGACATTTTTACTTATTAATCAAAACATCTATTGATTTGCGTCAAATCTACTCACTGATTGGAATCATCTATTCATCTGTATTGGAAATGGTAATAAACATTTAGAACAGAGGGGGATTGAATACGACTCAAAATATCAGTTAGACCACTGAGCCGGCATCCAACGGCATTAATGTCTAACTTCAATCAATCCACGAAGTTGAGCAACCATTTCACCAATGTCTTCAGTGAGTTGATATCTCCCAACAGACCTGGTTGAACTCCGCTGGTTACTGCTTCTCACTAGAATTCCAGGAAATACCTCATGGAGCCAGTCACTAATTGTAATTGTTTAAGTTGATTTTGATTGGTTGAATTATGTTTTGTTTATTCAAATAAATGTATTCTCAATATGTTTGATTCTATTCTTGAATTAATATAATTACGTGAGGTATATATAGTGATTTATCTTGTAAATCGAACTTTGCATTACATGCATCAGATTCCTTTATACAGTATTTTAATTTTTTATCTTATATTTCAATAAGATCTATAAGTGAATCAGAACGTTTTGGCCATTTTTACACAAATAGACTCTTCAAATCAACGAAATTAATTGAGTTCTACTCGTTATCATTACAGGACAACATTCATCAGGTGTAAAAACCTTTAGATATAAAATATTCACTTTGGGGGTCAACTTACACTTGTGAACATCATATTCATATTTTAACTAGTGACAAGAAATTTCGAGTTAATATTACTTAAAATGAGCCATAATTACAACGCATTAGGCTATATAAGTAAATAATAGTTTCGTCCATAATTGGTTCATGTCACTATGTTAAACAAAAATCTTATGGAATTTCGTATCTACAGCCTGAAAAATATACCATCTAGACTGATGCAATTGCTTTGATGAAAGAATCCGCCTATCTCTGAGTTGTAAGTTTATATAGCAGTCAACAAATCTCACCTATGATCTGATATGCGTTAAAGAAACGACACGGAGGGGGCACTAGCCAGGCACTTCTTTTTAGTTTTCAAATTCTTCAGTAACACACTCTACGATATCAGATAAGAACTACAAACTATACAAAACCTCAAGGAAACTACTTACGTCAGTAATAATTTTTAAATTACCTGTTTAGGATCCACATCAAGAACAATTACATACTTTCCTTCACCTTTAGGTCCAACCAGTGTAATCTCTTTCTCATCAGGTCTATCAATTATTTCATGTGGTGGAACAATATAATAGCCATTTTCAACTTCACTACAATCACGTCCAGTAAAGCCAACTTTACAAGCACACTGTCCACTAACACGTTCACAGTTTGGATTCAATGATCCAATTTGACTGCAGGCACATTCTTGACAACCTAATGGTGTTGTAGACAGGTTAAAATAACCTTCCTGTAAAATAAATAATATATATTAATATAGTACTAGTATTACTTTACTCCATTGATCATTTCTTCAAACGTTTATAAAATATTATGCCAATATAAATTTTTCAGTGAAAATCTAACAAATTATCAATGAACAATGCAGCAACTACCTAGAAAACTCAACACAAATGAATCTATAATTTGGTTAGTGATTGAGTAAATTGGAACTAATTACGATTTGCGTTTTAGGTATTCGGATGAACATAGTTGAGTTATTTTAAACTTTTCAATTCCTGTTTAATTCAATAAAAACTCCATTAATTCAACAGTTATAGATATTGCTGAATGGGTTCATTACTGTTGAGAGCTTTAGTCTTGAAGTGTATGCTCATCAGTACTGAAACAGTCAAACTATATCGAAAGATTAACTGAAGATACAAAATAACTAGCAATACTCGTAAATAAGTATTACTGATAAGCGTTTCAAACAGTTTCTTAATTACTCCTCAAAACAGAGACTGAAATGAGTCGCATAAATTATTTAGGTTCTCATTTTTCCAGTCTTCCTTAATGCTATAAACGTTAGGATTTTAAGTATATAGAGTTAATTTAGTCCCATAAAATTAATCTCTTTGAACAAAGATACTCTATCGTACTTCGTTAGACCCTAGGCTAACACTCAGGCGTTTAAATTGAGTATTGATAAGAACACTCAAAAATACAGGTTTCTTTGGTATAAGACGAAACATGAACTGGATTTCATTGCTATTCAATGTCAAACGTAATCAAGCTCTGACCACTGGAGATACTGATGGGCGTTTGTATACCAGCATTAGTCAGTCAACTCACCCCTTCAAATTGACAAGTATATATAAACTTTACTGAGAGTTTCTCATTTCTTTACATTTACTATGATGTAAATTTGCTTGGACGATGAAGATGATATATAATTCAAAAGAATGATCTCTGTAGTGTGATGTTCTCAGAGTTAGACAGTGTAAGTCTTTAAAGCGAGACAAGTTGTTTATAAATCAATAACCTCAAATAATCCTTAATCAAATATTCTATCATCGTAAAATTCATAAGGAACTTTATTCATAAAATAATGAATATTATAATGAGATTTCGAGTACTCACCAAACATCGATCACAATTTGGACCACCAACAAATCGTTTACATGTACAAAGTCCAGTAAATGGATCGCAACCACCATTGTCGATTGTACCAATCATATTGCATGAACAGGCTGTATTAAAAGGTATATATATACGTACCATAGAAAACTAGTCGCATAACATATATAATAAACAGATGAGCCCCAGTCTTATGGAGTTTGCTGAAGACATTTCTATCAGGTGTTCAAAAACCTGGATTTATTTGTTCAACACGTGATGGTTGTTAATCTTTTTATGCCTCAGTGACACAAACAATATTTCATTGCATCATAAAGTTTTGTCCAACTCTTTCTTTTATTCATTCACATCATTACGTCTTTTTATTTTGCATGTCTCTTAGATTAATAACCTTATTTTAACTGAGCTTCACTCATTTCATCCTTAGTTATTATTAGCATTTGTTCACTACATAACTCTTGTTTCTAGCTCGCTAATCTTACTACCACTATTTTAAGACGTTCTTTCATATAAAATGTACGTTTGCAATGTTTTATTTAGTCTATTAAATTTATTTACATCCTTACTACATTATAATTGTATGTGATCATAGCAGCCTCCAGCAAGCTCATTCATCTAGGTAATTTCAAACTGTTCTGAGATGAAGATTTTTAAATATTATAGATTGTAATCAGCTGACCAAACGAAATTAAATGACTTCATGTTATTCTGCTCAAACCTCTGTTTTGTCTCTTTTCACATTAAATACAGCAAAACATTGAGGCTTAAATCAACATGAATAGTTCAGAGTATACCAATTATATCTTATTTGGGACCTACGAACAACATAATATTGAACCTATGATATTGAGAACAGCTTAGTTCATTACAAATATTAAACCTGCCAAGTACATATTATTTTACAGTAATTTTACTCACCTTCACAACCATCAGGATTTTCAGCTTGAAAATTCCAAAACCCAACTTTGCACCGGTCACATTTTTCACCACCAACATTTTTCTTACATATACAACGACCAGCAATTGTATTCTGCTCTGGTATAGTGTATTGCTGACAGAAATTATCATATAATGTACCATCCAAATGACAATTACACGCTAAAATAAGGATGAAATCAAATAAGGAGAGTAAGTAAATGAATGATGAATGTAATTTTATCATAAGTGGTACTACAGATATCTGGAATGATACTTGTTGATGAGTTTGCTTTTAATTGTCACTGTGAATGATTTTCGATACTCCATGTTCGGGAGTTATCATTTACAAAATAACATAGGTGATGGAACCATTGAAAATCAGAGTGTATTCTATTCTGGAGCTTTTGAATATTTTGTTCCTACAACCTTATATTGGGAAAAAAATCCATGATCTATTCAATAAGATTATTTATAACGATCATTTATGAAACTTGAAACAAAGTTTTGACTATTATCTGACATTAGAAGGAAAATCATTGTAAATGAAGTGTTATTGATCAGTTGTGTTCTTTTAACATTGAAATCTTATACAATATAATAATACATCAGTATGAGAAATGTAACTTATGAAATGTTTAGTCTGATGGTTGGTTGCCTTCCATTCAATTATGAAGTTGAAGTTCAACAAACTCATATTTTCTAACTTTACATGATGTATTAAATAAGCATGATCTTCAATTAATCTTAACTATTTGATTAATAGAGTATATTCATAATTGAAATCATGAGTCAATTAAAGCTAGACCACCATGGAAAACCTGGAAGCACTGGACGGTCGTTTCGTTCTCCTCATCAGTGCGTATCCACGATCCCGCTCTCGCGAGATTCGAACCCAGGACCTACCAGTCTCGACCAATAATTTCAACTATGAAAATACTAAATTCTCCACAAAACCTCTCCTGATCTATAATAGAGTATAATCATTATGTCTTTTTATATCATTGATATGTGATTCAGGTTTTTTTTTTACTTTATGTGAATTTAAGTCATAGCAACAAAACAACAACAAAAGACACATATATTATAAAACCCTAGAATGAAATGTGAATTCAATTACATTGTTTCCAGTTAACTATTAAATGACGATTGATTTAATAATAACCAAATTCATCATTCACAATAATTTAGAATTGATTAAATTCATTAGTCATTGTTTAAATAAAGTTTATTTAAATGTACAAGTTTGAATTGGAATGTTATACTGTGGTGAACAAGAACACGAGCGTGATATGACTAGATGTATTTGAATATCGTAATCACAGAACGTCTTAGTGAAATCTGAGAACCATATAGTAAATACTTCATTTACAAGATGTCAAACAACTGTCTCAGACTTGATTGTTCCTTCGTTTCCAAACTAATCATTCTTTGTTCACGTTCTCTTTTCTTCGATCTTCTTAACGTTCTACCGCCAGGCATTTCACTTTCGATTGATGATACATATTACTTATATCTGTCGACTTCAGTAGCATACACCACAATACTGGTTCAATTAAATATGGTTTTCATTTGAATATAATAGTCATTATAATTGTATATTCTTATTGTAAAAAATGATAGAAATCATGCTATTTTAATGAACTGATTAAAATCTTTATAATTAATTGACAGAAAACCGTTGAAGAAATAGTCGGTATCAATATCAAGGTTTGATTTGATAATTTCAAATAAATTCAGCATTGAGTAAAAAAATTAATCGTAGAAATGTGTTATATCGTGTAGGTGAGTGTGCGTGCGTTCTTGTCCAGTTGATATCGATTGAGTGAGTGCCCTGCTTAGTATATGAACGCACAATTAGAGAGCAGTGATTTTATCGATTGCCCAATGATTCACAAAAGCGTTATGAGCAGTCTTGAGTACTACTCGGTCCTTCTATCTGCCTAGCCCAGCCAGTTAAGTCCAGAACACCAATAACAGCCTCGGCAATATGAATCATTATTCTCAAACATACTGGGTTTATATACCAACCAAACAGACCACATCGTACCATAAAATAGAAAATAACATTTGTACAATAACTGGCCAAATGTGGCTGTGAATAGGAGGAAAGTAATCAATAGACTGATGATAACTCAAGAATCATATAATAATAGTTCAAAGGTCAAAATAAAGCTAATGATAAGAGGAACATGAATACGATTAGGTTAGTTATTTAAGAACTATACAATAGGAAATATACATATCATATTGGTCCATAAATAGTCCTAAAAGTTATCATTCATAGTTCACCAGGGGATATAACATAATGGTACAGCTGTAATATATCAATAAGTAGACTTAATATGAGCCACTTCCATTTAGTTGGATATTACAAATGTATCATTATTTAGTTGTTTAATAAACAGACTGGATGTAGTAAGTAGAAAACTCTGCTCAGTTTAGCTTTTATACTAATTATCACTCGTCAAGAATGTATACCTTTAATTTTAAAGTATTTGATTCTCTTTGGTAAATTCAAACCAGCTTTGCCCAACTTTACAGTCTGGAAAATTATCAGTGGGTTATTCTCGTCGAAACAGACCTCCTGTATGACTAAGATATTTACAATGACTAGTTATTGAATCATAGCCAAACATATTTGTCTAACACTTATCAGTAATCAAATTCTATGGATCAAGTTTCCAGGATTAGCAAGCAATTTAGTACGTTTAATTGTTTACTTCATAATCAATAACTCAAAGTTGTCTAATTATAAGTAAGTAAAGCTGCGATAGTGTCAGGAACAAATAATCAGATATGGTACTATTCAATAAGTTATGACATTAACCAAAGAATAAATGATATCTTTTCAAAGTAACTAAAAATTACTAGAAGCAAGCAACATTATGGATAATAGTAACTTACGTTGACATGTCAAAGGATGATCTATTGGATAACTTGGATGACGATAGAAATTCGGTTGACAAAATTCACAATTTACACCTTCTGTATTATGCATACATCCATGACAGTTGCCACCGGATACATTACCAGATTTACTAAATAATACAGGATTAAAGAAACATGCTGTTGCATGATTGTTACAGTTGCATTCTGAAAAAAGAGGAACCATACATACAAATAAATATTTTATGTGAAAACGGTAGATTGATAATTAAAAAGAGACTAAGATTCAGATTTATGATAAGAAATTAAATGTGAGTTTTATTTGTATCCTATCGAATACATATGGGAAAAATAAGTGTGACATTAGCAGAAGATATATCCTTTGCTAGAAATTCTAACCAACGCATCAATCATGTTAACCGCTTTCAGGCAACAAAATGAAAAACAAAACTTAATTCATGAATGTTCAAATCCTGAAAGGGTGTAATAATTGCTGTATTTTCAAATTACATTATGAAGATGAGGAGATTGTGGAGACTGTCAAAAGTTTTGGTTTATTTATATTGATAATAATAATAATAATGAACATAACAACCCTGTGCTCACTAGTTACTAATTTCGAGACATAAATCCCGGAGTCATTGTGAAAATCCGTGACCAATTAGATTCAGCGGAAGTGATAAACTTAACAAACAATCATGCTAAAAGATAGTTGTTCAATATAGCAAATTCTTCAAAGCCAAAAATGTAAACTGTTAGACACCAAATCAGTGGTTTAATAGTTAAGAGTTCTCTAGGAGACCAGGGAGTTTTGGGTTCGATTCTCAGTAGGGTCATTCATGCTCACTACTGAAAAGTCTCATTCTGGGACTAAACAGTTGTTTAGAGCCTACCAGTTTTCAGTAATTGTCTGGTTAAGGTTGATCCGTGATGTAAACTACAAATTATTGTAACTGACTTATATCCATTATAACAATATGGGACTTGCGATTGAGAGTGAACTAACAGAAACTAACTACAAAACATGTGGTTTCCTTTCCTGTTGCTGACTTTTACTCCGAACTCTTGGAGTGCGAACTGCTTTTAAATGGGTTGAATAAAAGATTATCTAGTGTCCAATCTAGTTCTTCACTATTGTTTGTGAATAGTATATCTAATATAATATGATCTGGTCTATGTACTGCGTATCAATCTTGTATCCAGTCTTGTAGTAGTATGATCCCGGTCACCGCTGAGATTGTTATATCATAATAGTATACCGCGGAAATGAGAAAATATTTTTATTCTCCTGTTATATCAACAACCAGAAAGTCTTACTTTTACGAAAAAACCAACTTGATTATCCCTAAATCTATTGGTTGTTTTTTGGTCAACTGGTTTTCCTATTCTTATCAGTAAACTTTATATATCATCGATTAAAAATCATCATATTACTTATTTAGTGATGAGTATGATATTTTTTTAAAATATGTTTCTTAATCCACTTAGTATTGTTTGTTTGAATCTTCCCATTGATGTTTTAGGACTGCAACTGGTCAGTCTCTAATTGGCATATGTGCATACTGTGCGTATTGCTTCGATATAGCCTAAATTCACAAGCATGGTAAGCAAAGATGGATAGTACATCCAGCTGACGAGTTCCAAATAGGACGAAACGCGCGTCAAACTGGATTCCACTGCTAGCCACTATCCATCTTTGCTTACCATGTTTCCTAACTGGTCAACAATCTACCGTAAATATTTTTGGTTGAAACAAAACACAACCTAAACTTACTTTCACATGCATTAGCAGCATCTCTTGTTGCCGGCATCCATGGTTTATTCCAATGAAAATCAGCACAAGTTTCACAATTTTCACCAGCAGTATTATGTGTACATTCGCATACACCATATACCTTTATTTGTAAAAAAGCAAACAAATAGAAAATAAGTATATTTTTTTAAAACTAATATTTTCTTTATATAAGAACTTTCGTCTAAATTATAGCGAATAGTTTCACAGTATTTGGGCGCCGAGTCTATGTAAGACATTAAATAGGAATAATATATTCGTAAAATCTCGGCGAATGGATTTGAAGCAAATCCAACGTTTCGCCTGGCAATCTTTGTTCACTTTAAGATACTATGATAATGTTACTGCTATAGTGTGTAATTAGCCTAGTCCGCTATTAATAAATATACACTTCTAATATGCGTATCCAAATCAGCTAATTGGTTAGGAAAACCAAGAGTGAATAATAAGTATTTGCTGACTAGTCGAATTAAAATGACTTAAAAGAAAGCTATATGATCATGTTAAGATCATAGAATAATTGTTGGTTATTTCATATCGTCATAAATATTCCCTTTTTTAAGCAATAAATAGATGTGTGAATTCAGTCAAAGTGTGGTGTGGTCTACTTATACCCACATAAGTAGTACGTAGTGATCGTCAGACATAGAATGTATTTTGGCAGAAGATCGATAAGAAACGAACAGAAATGAAGCGCACACGGGACGAAAACGCATGAACAATGGAATTAGAGAAGATGCATTGATATTTGCAGAAGGAACAGTTAAGATTGAGACAATATATTGTCAATTTGCAAACTAACTATTTACTGTATGGTTATCAGAATTTAGTTAGATAGTCTGTATTTTTCGTGTCAAATACATTCGATTGTCCCCACTCATGTTCTTGTTCACTACAGAAGTATTAGCTAAATATAAGTGAAAATACATTAAACACGTTTCTGAAATGTTTTGTATTCAAAACTGATAAGGTTTATTTCTCATTTAATATCTATCAAGTTATATGTACTGTCAAATTTCCATTATTTTCTTCTGAACAATGAATTCTTTTTCTTTTGTACAAATGAAGCGTCACTTCTAAATAATCAATTATACTCTACTGTATTGTATTCTGGTTAGCGTTTTTACCAGAATACAATACACATACTTTGAGGAAATCACTGCGTCACAAGACAAGCCCTCACATGAAATCCTGAAGGTCAAAGGAGAAGAGGAAGACCAAAGAACACATTACGCCGAGAAATAGAGACAGACATGAGAAGAATGAACAAAAACTGGATAGAACTAGAAAGGAAGGCCTAGGACAGAGTGGGTTGGAGAATGCTGGTCGGCAGCCTATGCTCCATTGGGAGTAACAGGCGTAAATGAAGTGAAGTGAAGTATTGTATTCTACAATCTTCTCCTATTCAGAAAATATTAACATGTGACCAAAATAAAACCCTATCATCCCTAGGATGATAGTGACAATTATTCAGTGAGAAAAAAGAAAGAAAGAATTCACTTACTTTTTCTGGTTTAATAATTTCAGCAGATGATTTTGGTTTACAACGTAATGCATGACCAAAACATGTACATCTACCCCATACATTCCATTCATAAAGTGCATAATAGTATTTACGTCGTGTTAATGGTGAATCATCAACACGCATATCACCTATTTATGAAAACAAAAGATAAATAAAAAATTTTACCGAAAAATATTAAAGAATTGTTTTGTTAAAAAAAATTTAGATTTTAATGATATACTTAGGTATATTAGACTAAAGACTTAATAGAAGAGGGATTAGTGGAGGTTTTAATAATTTTATATAGTTGAAATCATGAGTCAATTGAAGCTAGACCACCATGGAAAACCTAGAAGCATTGGACCGCCGTCGGATGCCGGCTCAGTGGTTTGGTGGTTAGGCGCTCGCGCGTGAAACTGATGGGTCCTGGGTTCGAATCTTGTGAGGTAGGATCGTGGATGTGCACTGCTGAGGAGTCCCGCAATAGGACGAAACGGCCGTCCAGTGCTTCCAGGTTTTCCCTGATTGTCTAGCGTCAATTGATTCATGATTTCAACTATATAAAGACTTAATAACTAAAATATGATATTTCTACATAGGTTTATAAATTACATTTAGAAGAATATATTTTTTATATTAACCGAGATATCTTGAAGAAATCATGAAAAAATCTAGTTAGTATTGAACTCTTTCAATGAACCTAGTTCAGAAGTATTTACTGTTTCATGTTGTTATTACTTCTGTAAGTGCTTTTATGGAGGTTTCATATACATTGAGAGGAAGAGAGTCAGCATGAACTTGAATCCACTTATACGCTGCAAATTTTCATACGTTCTTATTTACATGATATCATTAGTTCATAATTCTTTAATATCATTTCTACATAGTCCCTTAGTGCTGATCGAATTTCATCGATCATGTTGCAAAGTGGCCACTAGCCAAATTCGTGACATTGTGTGTACGATGTTTAAATGTTTTGTGGTTAGAGATAGTCACACAGAAACCCTGGACCAAGTTTTTGTACTATGGTTGGCAAATCGGACAAACATGAAATCGGTCAATACTGTGATCAATCACTTCTGAACATTTCAGTCTGACAGATCAGAATAGACCCGTGTGCTTCAGTGGAAGTTTCTCAGACTGTGAAGCTAGGATGGCTCGGGTCCAAATCCTACAGAGAAATTCAGCTGTCAGCGAATTGAAACCATCTAAAATCTTAACATTAATTGTATCAAAAAACCATATGGTAAACCACTACCTATCACTTTTCATGTACGAACTATTTATTCATAGTATTTATGTATGAGAACAGGATTTTTACATTCATTTTCGAATAATAAACCTGTCAAAATGATTTTTCATTGTTTATGAGCCAAAAAAATAATTAATAAATAATGTCCATCGTCATTGTGAATTGTTTATACCATATAAAGTACAACGAAGTCACTAAGCTTTATGATTTGTATATACAGACGTTTAATTAAATTTTAAAAATTAGTCCAAAATTTCTCATAGTCACTTTGTTTAACAATCATTCAAACATTTTAAAGGTATAAATCTGTTACAATCTATCAATACTTAGTCGTGAAGTGATTTTTGTTTAGATATTTCATGAATCAGTCCTAAGCAATATGGAACCTGTTACATATATGCTCCCAGACCATATCAGAACAGTAATTTCAAATCATCAAGACAAGTCCCAGTGTAATAGAAGTAGTAATAGTATTAATGGTAGTAGAAAAGATCAAGCATATACAATTTATACGAAGAGGAAAAAGTAAATTCTTGAAATAAAGAAAGCAGATTATCATTTAAAGACTCAGGATATGTTGAAAGATAAAGATTGAATGAATCTAAACCAGTGTGATCAATTATGGCCAATTTCACCTAACGTTTCCAATCATTGGGTATAATAATCGAGAGGACCGTAGCTAGGTAGTCTGCATCTACCTAAATTGGTCAATATAACAGTGACTTTAAAGAATGATTCCACGTATTGGACTGGGTGACCTATTTTTCTGCCAACCTACTGCTACACCGGCAAATATCATGCGTCTGGTTAGACAGTGGTTTGGAGTACGTGATACATGTTCCAACAACCTCAGTCAATGAAGGTCCACTATTTCATCAACCTACTTGCTATCTTTGTACAGAAAACTGAGGTTAACCTCAGCATTCCTCGCTCACAGTTGGAGACAATTAGCAAACGTGGATTTAAATTCCATGTTGGTTGTTATTCATAAGCAAGATAAATTTGCACCCGTTCAAAAATTGATCCTCTGGTATGATTTGAACCTTAATCTATTGGATGTCTACACTAGGAAAGATTAAATTATCGTCACTGATTAATCCAAATGAAGTGTTTTTGTTAAAATTTTATTCTTTGTGAACTATGAAAATAAAACTGAGAAAACTCCGATAAAATTATTGGCAAACATAATTTAAGTCTAATTAATCAATTCTAGTAAGTAAAATACGTTAAACCATGATATTTATTACTATATGACGTCGAAATTGTTTATATAATATCATTTACAAAAGCCTGTCGACAAATTTTCAACATCGTCCTATTGTGGGACTCCTCAGCAGTGTGCATCCACGATCCCGCCTCGTGAGATTCGAACCCAGGACCTACCAGTCTCGCACTAGAGCACTTAACAGAAATGTATTCACTGACTTTAAGCATATGATAACTAATACTCTACCTAGTTTTTAGGTTTTACAACTTTTATTAGCCAAATTCTAGTAAAATCAAATCAACTTAGCCGATAATCCTAACATTTTTTCTTAGAAATGCTAATAATTGCTATCACTTAAAAAAAGCAAATTAGAGACTATTACAACCACTGTATTCAATGATGAGGTTTTTCGGCATAAACTACTCCAGATAAACGTTGATGAGTATACATTTGTGTTACACATTACTGAAAATAGTAAATTTTATCCATTATAGTAAACATTTGTTTGGTGAACATCTCAATTAGGTAATGCTTTGCCCTGTCTACTTAGTATTCACAGCTAAAATATATGCTGTGGACAATGTGCATAAATATTTGTTTGTCTATTAAATTTTACTTAGAAGAACATAACCTGCATGATTATCACAACAATATAAAGCTTATAGATTCTTAAGCAAAGATGGATAGTGGCTAGTAGTGGAATCCATGACGCGCATTTCGTCCTATATGGGACTCATCAGCTGGATGGACCTGCATCTCAGAGTTGATGTTCACCCTGGGACTCGAACTCAGTACCTTTCGCTTCAAACGCCATCGCGTTATCCACTTAGCTACTGAGTCCTGATAGCTACTTGCTTGTGTAATGGGGTGAAGTTTAAATTCGCATCAATGGGAAGATTCAAACAAGTAATACGAAGTGAATTTATAAATTCTTAGTTTATGACTAGCAATATGATTATTTTTTCCAATAATTGTTACAATATTAAGCACTGATTTTGTTATTTGAATTTGTTACATTTTCTTTCGAAATTTTAAAATAATATTAGTAGTTCAAATAATGAATCAATTGAAGCTAGACCACTATGAAAAACCTGGAAGCACTGGATGGCCGTTTCGTCCTATTGTGGGACTCCTCAGCAGTGCACATCCACGATCTAAAATAATACTTGAAATTCTCTGTTTCCTTAAAAGTTTTTTTTCTTAATTTGTCCAATCATACTACGTTTGTGTCTCAGTATAAACTAACCACTACACTACATTACTTTATATATACTATAGTTATTAAATCAATGAACTGATTTGAAAAGACAAAGGGTTGAACACTTCAGCAACAAGTACTACTATAAAATTGAAATGAGATAATTGATAAAAATTTGTTACATAGTGAAAATCATTCATGAATGCACAAACTAGTTTATATCAATAAAAATTGATCTTTATGTAATTCACAAGGGGTTTTTGTGGATACTTCAGTATTTTCATAGTTGAAATCATGAAGCTAGACTACCATGGAAAAACTTGAAAGCACTGGATGGTGCATTGCTGAGGAGTCCCATAATAGAACGAAACGGCAATCCATTGCTTCCAGATTTTATGTAATTACTGAGGTTTGTTATTATGTAACAAGGGGTATATATATATATATATCATTCTAAAAGTGAAATCTATTTTTATAACTTAATTCAAAATGATAACATTTAATTACGTTCAAATAACAAATCTAAACAAAACATTGGCAATAACTTTCACTTCATGACTATACAGTTTAAATTTGTTTATATATACATATATATAGTGAATGACACCAGATTACCGGTACATCTACTTAGATAATTACACATTAGTACATAAGAATATTACTAATATGTTATTCAATTTAGACCGGAAATACTAATTGAAAACTAATACTGTTATATTTCATTGTTCGTGTTTTCATCGAACGTAAGATAAAGAACATAGTCTGCTGAACTGATTGACCTTAAATCATACTAATATACATTTATACAAATAGTATATATATATGTGTATTATTTTGCTATGTACCTTAGATAATTAAGATTTTATAAATTTTGGACTGGATTTAATCAAATTGGTTACCATTGTATTTCGTAAATACTAATTTGGAACATTCGGTTTTGACAAATATTATCAGTACAATTCGAGTAATTCCTAGTGAAACGTTAATTAGCTTATTATTTGACCTAAGAATTTGCATTATCATTGTGAAAGATAAGACTTGGAACATTGGAGAAGTACTAAACAACTCATAACATAACTGAAACTGTAAAGTTAAACGCTCAATTAATCTAAAAGTAAACACATTCATGTCGATATTGTGTTTAAATTAACACTTTTTGTCATGAAATGACGATCCATGGAAGCAAAAGTGTACTTTACAGGTGTTTCGGCTTTATTCAAAACTCTTCAGTATCTCCCAATTACTGTCTTATATAAGGCTGAATCAAGAACCTTCAGGTCACACAGCAAGCTCTATACCATACAAATATTTTAAAGTTTATTTAGGTTTGATACCCTGCAGAGTCAATTAATATTAGATAGTCAGCCACTTATTCGTCGATGATAACCGTATTGTGGTTCCCAAGAGAGCTGATGATTATGTCTTCAATTCTGCCTCGGTTTACGTTATGGGTTACTTTTTTTTAATTTTTCGACGAGTTTCCAAAAGACATCGTTTTGTGACTATTATGATTTCGAAATAGTTCCAATCTCTTGTGCTCTACATTCATCACTACTTATCGAGTTTTTTTAATATCTGTTAATTATTAAAGTCATCCATTTTTAAGTTGATATGAATCATTGGATATACTTATTTAAATTTACCATGTGTTCAGTTTGAGCACTATTTCAGATAATATACTCTTTTTTACACATTGTCCGTCTCTACTACTGATTGAATGGTGCACTGAGATCTTTGGATTAGTGTCGTTGTAGTCGCTCCGCCACTCTACTGATACTGAGGAGATGACCCAGCTCGACTATTTAGAGGAATTAAAAGTCGTAACAAGGTTACCCTAGGTGAACCTACGGAAGGATTATGATCATGACCCAAAAATATATAATGAAGCATGCACCTAGTTTCGTGCTGGACTGAATGTACACTGGCTTTGTGGTATTTATCCTAGATTTCAGAGGTTACTAATGTATTAATTTGGACATATTTTGAACACGAATATGTTATTTCAGAAACAAAAAAACCGATAAAATCTTGTTTTTAGTGTAGACATATTCGAGCTCAACTTAAGTGAACTTTAAACGAAGAAAGAACAAACAAGGTCTGTTTCACCGATTCTCATCATCTGTATACAACCTAAAATTACAATTATTAATTACAACAAATGTTCTAACATATTTTAGCTTGTGAAGTTTAGATAAATGTTTGCAACGCAAACAAAATTAACTGAATTATGGAGAAGAATAGGTCAATTTGATCTTTTAAAAATCCTCTTTTACTTACCTAAGGTATTAATTCTGGTAAAAACAGCTCGCAGATTAGTAATTGCTGTCAAATTCATACGTTCTTTACTGTACTGAGGCCATGATTGATGCATTTCACTTGGGGCAGCCATATAAGCAACCTAGTTTGTATACATATAAACATAAGTATGAAAATGATCATAAAAAGGGTATTTAACTTTGAAAACTAGTAGTATAGTGAAATAATTAACAAACTCAATCAGTTATTTAGCTGTTTTCAAATAAAGCTTTGAAAAACCCAAGAAAATCTTACCAATGCGTTATGTATAACATAGTAGTATATTTCAAATGTGACAAAAATAATTTAATTATAACTGCTATACATTGTAAGGTGAAATTTTTATCAACATTCATTCAAAATGATTTTTTTAAAAAGAAACCATTATGCATGATGTAAACATAGTGTTCCGAAGATTGTTGGATTTTTTTGAGATCATGAATCGATCTAGGTTAGATCATCATTGAAAACCTAGAAGCACTGGACGGGCGTATCATTCTAGTATAGGACTCCTCAGTGGTGCACATTCATGACCTTGGATGCAGTAATCAGACCCAAGACCTTCGGTCTCACACGGATACTTAACCTTTAGACCACTGAGCCAATATCCAACAATTTCAATGTCTAACTTCGATCAATCCAAGATATTATGTGACCATCTTCCATTGTCTTCGGCGGGTAACTGCCTCACATATGACACGGCTGACCTCCACTTGTCACAGCTTCTGAGTAGAACACCGTAAATTACTTCTAGAAACTAGTCGATGACAAACATATGATAATTATAAGTATAGGGTTGTCGAAATTGTCGAGTTTTATTGAAATCATGTATCGATCAGTGATGTGTTACACACTGGCCGTTATTTATTACTAGGATATTACTTCATTTGGTCACTGGTAGTGATGGAAAATCTGTTCATTAATTTAATTCTCAAATTACAATAGATATATGCTTCAAAAAAATCAGCAAATACTGTTTATCTTAGTTCTGCTTTAGCATTGAATTTTGCTTTGTTAACATAAGCTATTGCCTAATAATTCTTTTTTTGAAAAACAACTTATTAGATAATATCTTATTGTATACTTCTGTCTGTTTTGTAACCAAGCTTCCATTCTGCACACATCTTCTGCTACAAATTTAAAGAATAATAACCTATAGATCTTTGAGATTTCTGCTGAAATCTAAGTTTTAATTTCAGTATACCAATGTATTAGCGTATTGAATATTTATTAATGGTTAAAGCTGAAATCCGTCATCATTGTTCAGTCTCTTTTTTTTGAGAATCAATATTTTGATTTTGGATTAGCGTTCTGACGAAGCTCTGACTGGGTCTTCGGGTAAACCGTTGAAATTATTTAAAATATATCACTGGGTTTATTTTTTTCTTATACATCTAATATCTGATGATAATCTATCAGTATTTTCTTCAGAATTTGTATTTCGTCTATTATGTATATGCATATACATATTAATCACATTAAATGAGTGATTTTAGGCCAATACGGATTGAGTTAAAAAAAAAGAGAAAAGACATTTTATTTCATTTGCATCATCACAACTAAACTTTTTATCATGGGTATAAATATGTGGTCCAGTGGTTAAGCGCTCGCGCGCAAGACTGGTAGGTCCTGGGTTCGAATCTCCCGGGGCGGGATCGTGGATGCACACTTCTGAGGAGTCCCACAATAGAACGAAACGGCCGTCCAGTGCTTCCAGGTTTTCCATGGTGGTCTAGCTTCAATTGACTCATGATTTCAACTATATAAATATGTATTAATCTATGTATAGCAAATAATACAGCTAATAAACAGTGATCAAGTTTTTATCGATTTTTACTGGTACAAAATTACGATCATTTTTACGACAACATGATGATGAAGAAATAATTATTTACGTTTGAAAATTTAGTCAATTAGTCGATCGGTCAGATACAACTTAGAACTTGTCACATGTGTATAACGATTCAGGTTGTCTTACTCCGTGGTAGTAAAAGTAGTGGCAGTATAAATAGTGATTCAACATCGAAGATATGATCCAAGTAAACATAAATTAGTGAAATAAAAAAATTTAAATGAAATTCATATACCTAGGATTTAAGGGAAGATAGAGTAAATCCACCTGGGCCATCCCAAACGATTCTGAACCATATCACCCGAAGTTTATTACTACTAGTTACGATAATCACCTTGACCTCAACCAGATAGTCTGTACCTACCTACCTACATGGATCAGTCCAACGATCGATTTCTTCATGGGCTGGTGAAATTTCTTGGTTTTGCTGCTTCTAGTTTTCTTCCAACCTATTACCACATCAGCCATTATGCGAGTTGGGGTCGTTCGTGGAACATATAATACATATCCAAACTAAATCAGACGATATAAACTCACTACTTCGTCAGTCGATTATCCATCTTTACCTAGTATTTTCTAACTACCTTTAGAATTATTAAATCGATGGAACCGAAATACACAAACGATGCTTTGAATGTACCTACAATCGAATACTGCTAACCTACAAATACTCTATATTTTTAAGGCCCATGTTCCATACCTATAAAGAAGAATGAGGTAAACTACAGTGCAGTTAACCTATCCTCCAGTTGGTAAACCGATATTTCGCTTACACTACAAGTGACGTAACGTAGCAAAAGTTAACCGAGTTTTCTGATTTCATGCTGAGATTTTATCAGACACCAACCTCTCATGGCCGATGAAACTTCTAGGGTGAATAAAGTGATGGACACACCCAACTACTTGACTCCCTATCCTTAGTTCAGTTGTCGATGTATATCAGTCCTGAAGTAAGCCTTGGCATTCAGCTGAAGAAGGATGTACCTCAAACATATTTTTATTGTTGCTTAAGGTTGTTAATAGGATGCATTTTTTCAATTTTTCACCAGATAGAACTATATTAAATTTGTATTATAAGTTAACAAATTAGATATATGCATCAAACAGATCAAGATAATAAGAAGGAATGAAATGTTAGTCATTCCCGCGAAAACTGACTTCGCTGCTGAAATTCACTCACATCTAATCATCAAAGTCATTAAAGTCTGAAAGTTTGTTTTACATTTTACAATATTAGGTAGTATCCGGTTAGTCTGTAGTAAAATCAATGGTTATATTAATTGTTTCAGCCATAATCACGGGACATTTTGTGTAAAAAGGTGGATTAATTTGTCACTTATTATTGATTTCTAGCTTGTTAACTAATCCTTGGAGATGAACATACTATTTAGTTTAAGTTTTCAATGAACTTATTCAAGATAACTGATTTATTGACACCTATTTCTGTCCTCTGGGTATACAGCACGCTTATGCAGTAGAGGACGATTTAAGTCCTATACTCTTATAATCATCAGTAGTAATTATTTTCACTCATAAATTTCCCATTACTGAAAGATAAAAAATTATAATATTCATCTCAATGACTACATAATTATTACTGTTCTACTTAGAAATATTAATTCTAATTAACGTTCTGATTATACAACATGATATTGATCGTTGGCCCCCAAATGACCTGGTACGGCCGAGAGTGGGAAGAGTACACTCTCCCTCTCCAAATGCTCTCACATGGCCACGCGTATATAGTCTCTACCAGGGAAGTCCTACACACTGTCTTCTCGTGGCATTACTGTTGTTTACGAAATTGAGAGGAAGAAAAGCAAAAGTCCAGCGCTTTATCCGGGTTAGTGAACACGGAAAGTCCACCTAGGGGAGTTGCAAAACTCTGATTCCAAACCATTGGTGCACATGGGCTGGCTCCAGTATCCTGAGGGAACAAATGGCGTATGAACCAATAGTTGGTCATCGGCTATCATGAGACTGCATCTCCTTACGATGCTCCATTGCCTTGTGGATCAGACCTTTAGGTCGAAGGCTGGGGGTGTGGCACCCTAAGAAAACCATCTGCTTCAGTTTGGGTACCTGGGCAGCATCTCAGCCCCGACACAAATCAAACAAGATTTATGAGGCGCATATGTATCTGGTGCTTCCTTGTATCAATATTTATGTGTTTAAATAAATAAAAAAATGGTCATTGGCTGATGTCTCAAATGTGAACACTTCTAATTACTAATTTTTCTACTTTTAATTCCTATTTATATTTTAATGTCAAAAAATTAACTGACAAACAGTTAGTGTTTAGCAGTGAAAACTGAGTAAGAATTTATTCAAAGATCGGTATTCATGTTACTTAGCCTAAATGTGTAAATTCCAGGATATGAAAAATGACTACAACTAACCATATCTCAGTTTAATTTCAGTTACTAAGTTTTGCATTCAATATTTGCTCGAATTAAAGACATGTATAGGTTTAAACGTGATTAAAGTATCTTATGGGACAATTTTTATCCTCATCAATATCTGGTCAATCTAATAAGAGTAGGCAAGTGCGAAACTTTGATTAATGGAAAAAAATATTTAAAAAAATTCTTTTAAATTTAACTCAAGGAGTCTTGGGTAGTGACATCATTAGTATGTACGTCATTTTGATATGAATTTCAAAGTAGAATAAGTAAAACATTCTAAATAAAGCAAACTTTTATAGCAACCAAGGCTTGACTAATTCCTCTACGAAACTGAACTACTATAAAATTTATACTTAACAAAAATTCCTTCAAGATATTATTATATGAGATTTTGTATACTTCTGATAAGTTGTAATGTTAAAGTATAGTCAATTGAATTGTGACTGTACTCCTTGATAACAGACATAACAGTCGAATTAATGAAAATTTGGTCATTACATTATTGCCAAAAGAGTTTTAGATCACTAATGTAAATGATTCGTGTCTGTGATCGAGTGCCTACTCAAATAGGATGGAAATGGCCTGACATGCTAGCTTATGTAAAAGTCAAGTCTCGCAGTTTATCCGTAACCTGGATTATGCTGTCGTATTAACCATGTGAGGGGGGAGAATGAATATTCACAATAGGCAACAGCATGTATTAGTATTAACATAGCATAAGATCAAATTATTACATTTTATAACAGAAATAGATCGGTAGATATAAAGATGCAATTATACATACAAAATTAGAACTTAATGAAAATTAACAAGATATTGAAATTTTTGAGCAACTTTTTAGTGTTCTGTATTCATTCACCTTAACTAGGGTATCCAAATACTCTTCATATTTAAAATATCTGAAGGACTTGATCCATATAGATAATACTTTCTTACAATGATTAGATTAACATTTATTAATTCTGCAAACCAGTATGACACTTAAATTTGGTAACTTCTTAGTTTATTCAATCTGATCTTGTAGTATTTGATCTATGCGCTCTGTTTTTACGTAGAACAGGTTTTATGATACTTACTTCCATCACGTTATTTAGGTTACATGTCAACAGAAGTTAGTCTATTTCTACGTGATAGACTACTTGTGTCTACAATATCTTCTTTATAAAAACCAGGTAAGTGAAGTTTTTAACCCGATAATACAGTTAATTTGCTGGAATATTTCTCACTTGAGTTTGCCCAAACTACCTCAATAATCTTTATCTTTAATGAATCAGTTATAAAAAAATATAGAAATCCTAATGCATATATATGAAATTAAGAAACATACCACACCTCCTTCAGAAGGTGTAAGTTGACTATAAACTCCAGTACAAGTTACATCAGTCAACGATCGACGAGGACCTTCAGGTACAGCTGGAAAATCGCGTTTGCAGTTATTCGAAAAATAAGCATAACGTGCCCATGTACGTCCAAAGTCATAAGAACGTTCTAAGTACATAGCTGCTGGACGATAAGTTTTAAAGCGTAGAATCGTTGAAATAAATTGAAATTGTGTATCCAAATTCAGTACAATTGACACATTGTGTACTGCATTCTGTGACTGCCACCTGAAATTAAAGTATAAAGTTTTTTTTATTTGACAGAAGATATAAACCTGAAAAATAATCTAGAAACTATATAATGTTTTGATAATGAAATAAGAAAGAATATCAAGAAACTTAGTACTGTCGAAAAATCACCACGGAATGTATCTTAAAATCAACATACATCCAACCGACAACTGTCGTAATGGAAAGACGTTACATAGTATCAATAAATTTATTGTCTAGATTACGAATTTAGATTGTAAAAAGGTAACTAATTCAAAGTTTTAAAAAAATTGTCTTCAAATCTAGACAATTCTATGTAACCAGTATATGAGGTTTATGTAGATTTTTCGGTTTTCATAGTTTACGTCGAGAACTGATCGTAATTAACCAACCAATGAAAAAACGGAAAGCACGTACTGCAGCTCTTTCGGCCTAGTGTCGGGCTCTTCAGCAGAGTATATCCATAGTTCCATCAGTGATTGAACTCAGGGCTTTCAGTCAAGCATCGAGCATTCAGCCTCTAAATTACTGAGCCGGAATTTCGAGACCCATTAATCTACTAGACATTTCAAAAAAAATATACCAATACCTTACATAGAGATTTCAGATATAGTTTGAAATCTACTTATGAATAAAAGCAACACTTATCTTACTTTTCTATGTCCTGCTACATTCTAATAAATTCTAAAGCTTAATTTGACAAAAATAAGTTTATAGAGAGACTGACCAGTTGCAGTCCTAAACATAAATGGGAAGATTCAAACAAACCATGTGAATTCAAATTCATAGATTGTCTATTAAATATAGAACAAACTGTAGTTACAAGTCAGCTGCTGAGAAGGAAATTTAAATAAGTTTAGAGTAGCAATTCACTTTTTTATTGGTTGCTTTTATCTTCCCACTGATATTTAGGACTGCAATTGATCAGTCTCTTATTGGTATATGTGCATCGTATACGGATTGCCTCGATAATGCCTTAGGTCACAAAGGTGGATGGTGGCTTGTAGTGGAATTGAAGACGCGCGTTTTTTCCTATTTCAGACTCGTCAACTGGATACATTTGCACCCGAAGTTGATTTTCATTCCGGGACTGGACTTATGGTGCTTGTGAGTGAAGTCCATATCGAGGCAATCAGTACACGATAAAAATATGCCAATAATATACTGACCTATTGCAGTTCTTAACATCAATGGGGGGATTTAAATAACCAATACAAAAATGGATTAAACTTCATCCCATTGCACAAGCTAGTGATTATGTGGACCCATTACCTAAGTGGATAACATAATGGCGTTTGGAGTGAACGGTACTAGATTCTAGTCTCGGAGTGAACATCAACTCTGGAGTACAGGTGCATCCGGTTGATCAGTCCCAAATAGGACGAAACGTGCGTCCTGGATTTCACTGCTAACCACCATGATCTCAGCTTAAGTTTAGAGTATATTTTAGCGAAAACACAAAAATTGTTCCCGAAACTACTAAGTATTAGTGTCGAATCATCGATGTCATACACAACATTTAAAATAATGCAAAATATTGGGAAAGAAATTGAAACAACTCAATATAGAAGGGTTACTTATCGTTTGGTAAATTTGTAGTTATATTTGTTGTTACTCAGTACATAATTCCCTAATTTTTTCTGAAACGAAGAGAGAATGGCTCTTTACAAAGGTCAATATGTAGAAAACCAAATTCAAATAGATAATTTAAAGATTTTTGTAGTTTGGTACTTTTGAGCCGTAAATTATCTTAACACACTATCTTCGATGCCCAGAAGAAATAGAACAGATGACAAAAATAATGACGAACTGAATAAAATCTGGTGAACACACCGAAAGCATCTCCACTTACAAGTTCATTAAAGCGAACTTGAAGATTAAATAACAAGTGAAAGAATACCCACAGTACCCAATAAGGGTTTGTTTATGAACAATGAATTTGAAAGTGATATTGCATCGGAGATTTTCAACAATTAACTGTCAAGTTCACTAATAAGGACCCGTTTTCAAATTTTCAAAACGTTTTCCCTAGTAGACGACTGATTCAGGGGTGGGTTATAGTCAAGTTACTGTTTTCCGTCAAATCAACCTGAATTTATCAGGGTTACTTTTATTGTTTGAATATTGACACAAAACGCTGTTCTTTCACCTAACCCATATAATTATTAGAATGTTTAAATTCATCTTGTGTGTTTATCTAGCTGACTGAAAAAATTTAGAACTTACAATTTTGTCGCTTATCTTGAGAGGAAAGTAACGATTGAAAATGATATAGAACGGGGGTGACTGAAAAATATTCAATTAAACCTAACATTCAGTGGCATAGTTCATTCGGTGAGTTTGAACATATTTCTTTCTGCGTGGAAGGAACTTAATTGAGATTATATTACACTGATCTTGATTCTTTATGCAAAATTATTGAAACACTCTTAGTCTTGGAAATAAAGTGGTTATTTGACGAGTTTTCAACCGCTTACTTACCCCTGTACAGCGATTAATACAAAATTTAAATGCAAACAGTACCTACTAACAGTTTCTTGTTAGTCATTTACAGTCAAAACTTCTATCAAGAGTCCCCTGATAAACTTCGCCTTACGAATCAGGTTATAATGTTCAAATGGCAAACAAGATAAACACACTATAAATGCCCTAAATTTACTTTGAAAACAAAGGCAACAAATAAACCTGTCGAATCGCTGTAACGCCTGCCACAAAATCCTAAATATGACTTATCTTGGTAGGCTACAACAAGCACAATTTTTTTCTGAAGCGGTTAATTACCTTTTTCTACATAGTAATCATTATTAATCTTGACAGTTTCAAATGATAAGGGGTAGTTAGTTTTGATTTCATTGGATTAAAATCAGCTGGGGCATCAAAGCAAATGTACCAAAAATATTTCTGAGCAGCCCTATACTTCTTTATTTAGAAAGAGCAAATATTCGTGGATTGACTCTTTATGATTTTTGGCTTGATAGATAACTATAATTTAGTGCATTATTCCCCCATTCATCAGGCTTTTTTGCTTGAATGGAAGTGTTCTGCCCATTTTTAAGATAAATCCTGGCAATATTAAAAATATAGCAACAAAATTCTTGAAAAGTATCTACCAGTGACAGGCTAATGTCGTCCGGTGTAAAATAGCTTGTGGTCTAGTAAAAGCGATGGTCGATTCCTCAACGTTTTTCAGAAACCTCATATTAGTATACAGAAAAAGGTTCAGTAAGTCACAATCCAAATGAATCTTCCAACGATGCTTTCTCATTAAGCTTAATCTGGTTTTCAAACAAACGTCGATTCAAAATGTGACCAAAATGAACATTACTGAACAAAGTGATATATGTACAAAAAATCAAGTAGACTGAGACAATACCTATTTTGTCAACGTGCAAACAAACACTTGGTCGTCCCATTGAAGTAAAATATCGTACGGCCCATATTAGTCGACCAAAAAATTTAAAAGGGTAATTCAGGAGAAAGAGTTTTATCAAAATAAACCGAATTGCATATGAGTGCTGTCAGTGTCTCATATTCTGTAATGGACTAAGAAATATCTGAGGGTCTTAATGAGAAACCTGACTCAGTTTCTAGTAGAAAACCTTAAAATCAACAAAATTCTACCAATCAAGCCTACAAAATATTGTTCCGTTGCATTGCTGTATGGGACACTATATTGTTTCTCAATCCAAAAAAGACGGGGATTATAAAGAAAGTTAAACAAACGAAGGTAACAATTCGACATAAAAAATCTATATCAAGTCACGTCAAATGCACTTAGGGACTCAAGTCTGAACACTGAAAAAAATAGGTCACCTTCCTTAGACCTGCAGCTTGCACATCACACAAAAAGATGCAGGGCAAAAGTAGACTTAAAATAATCTTGTAAGTTGGGTAAAAAACAAGGATGATGAAATCATGAATATTGGAGATCTGTTAACAAATTCGCTATTCCATTATTCTAAGGGGATAGTTCTATATACTTGTTGATATACGACAACTCCCAAATAATAACATGCATTTTACAGATGTAAAATATAGGGTAAACTACCTACCTTGTACAATAATTCATACACTTTTAGCAGCAGTCCGAATACAAAAATTGTTCGGGAGCAAGGCGACCCTAAACTGCCAAATAAATTTGGTGTGTAGAATCCAGCGGTACCAGAAGAAATACATTCTAAACTAATAAGCGAACCTAAAACTCCAATCTTAAAGGACTTTTTCAAATATTCCAACCTATATTCAGTGTGGGGTAGGTTATCAGTCATCGACAGAAAGAGTATAGTTAGCTCTGGCTTTAAATTATGTGGATGAATATTATTTGTGTTTTCCAATCATAAATGGACAATAGTGGACGAAATTATTTAATTTTAGAAGGAGACTTCCTTGTGCACATTGTAAAGTCCAAGTTATTCGCACAATATGTATTCAGTACAGAAACGGTGTAAATAGTTTAGAATAAAATACAATAATTTAACTAACATACCATCTTCCAGGGTTGCTTGGGACTCGTGAAACAACATTTTCCACACGATGACTTTCAGGATTGGTTATGGAATTGTACGGTTGTTTAGAAGTACATTCTTTGCAATAGCTTTTACCGCTGGTTGTTACAACGCAGTAGGCCTCGACTTCGGTCAAGCCGCAAGTTGAAGATGCAATAAGTGAGCTTTCTCGACCAATCAACAAATCACCGGCTCGAGGATTACATATAGTATTTTCACAAGAATAGTCCTCCGAAAACGCAATCTCATATGAACCTAGAAAGTTTTTTGATTAATACTATCACAATACTTGTTGTTAAAACGCAGGACAATAAAATAGAAGTCAGCAAAATACCACTCATCGTCCGTCCACATGAACTACTTACATCAATCGAAAAATAACCTATCACTAATTGTGTTATTGATGTATATAAACACAAAGATTACATGATTCAACATACATCACATTGGGTTATATTAACTACTTAGGGAATGATGACAAATCCTTTCATTGGTTTTAGTTACAATTCATACATTATACAGCACCATTTATTGACAACATCAATGCGCGCTCTTCGAATCTGTCGTGATCTTTCAACAATAACGCGAATTACCCTGTTTCTGCTGTCGGATTGTAATACCTAACCATTTCAAAGGACACGCATTGCGTCTTAACTTGGTGGCAGACAATTGAACTAATAAATTTAACATCCTTATTCATACCAAGGTTGAACCATTGTGTTGTAGGTCTAGTTGTTCCGAATAACTGCTCTCTTCCCAGTTGTTTCAACTGCAACAAGCACACATTTATTCACTTGTGCACACAGATCTTATGGAAGGGTCACTAGATCCATGCAAAGTGTTTCGACGAGACGGTAGAAATTCCAAGTATTTTCCAGGTTCTATTCACGTGCACCATATTCATTTTTATATTTCGAAACTTGCATCTTGCATACTTTCTCCTTGAATTTTCTCACATTCTCTTTTTTAATCTGTTAAGTAACATCTACGGCAGTGGAGTTTACACCGGGACATACACCATAGCCACCAGGACGACTGGTAGAGGTCTTTAACCAAAGGTAAATAATAAGTTGAGAATCCCCGTTTCTGGCAACACACCTGTATAAAAGTCCGAGACAACATCAGATAATGAACCACAGATAATAATAATAATTCATTCTCAAATAACAGATTGTTACATGAGGCATGCCGGTTTACAGGCAAGATCAAATCGTTAAAGAAGTTACAATTTTCACTGTTGAAAATTACTCAGCTGGGTTGATATTTCATAAGATATGAATGTAAATGGATTTCATAAGAAACATGTCAATATCGATATCACACTTGGCGCACTTTATGGAGGTAGCGTTGCAGCATACAACTGATGGTCGAGAATAGATACATGCGAAGTTGGGGCTTTTAGAAGTTTCGAACTTACATCCTTCCAGAATATCGGAAGCATTATTAACGGTGTAGGACAAAATCACCCGTGCCATATCTGTTTTCGGTGGAGTATCTGCAGGAGGCTGAAAAAGGTGTAAGAAAAAGGAAGGACGAAAAGCAGAGCACACAATATTCATGGAGGAATAGTTAATGTATAACCATTTAGTCTATTTGTTTGTTACTGAAGTATTTATTAGGTAAGAACATACTAATGTGTTAAAGAAAAATAAGTGTGGGCAAGGTGTGAGTGGGTAAGGAACTGTATAAATGAAGGTAGTTCAGAATAAAGTATGGAATTGTGTAATTATAACATAAAGTGCTGAAAACAGTATTCCGATTTAAATGGCTGTCTCCCGTTTTTTCGAAGCTGATTGAACTCTTTTTTGTTTTTAGATTTTATAGGGTATAGAGTGGGCTTCGTTTTTAGCCAATTGTCTAGTTTGCTTGTAATAGGATTACTTGGTAGGAAGTGGAACCAATTCAGCTTTTTTTAACATGATTCAAAGTGGTATTTTGCATGAATAATTTCGCATCAATACCGTTGGTTCGTGACATCCCACTAGACATAAGGAGCCGTAATTAATTTGTTCTGCCCCACAGACACGGGTGGATTGAAGTTATCTCCCCACCTTCATGTTTGCTGGTCAGTAACGCCACCAGATTAGTGTGTACAACACGGACTACTTGACTAAGACAACAGAACTGGGTCTTCAACTTAGTAATCAGGATCACACTCTCACCCTAGTCAGCTCAAGAGAATTAAGAGGAAAGAGAGTCTGAAGCTCCTCATAACGCAGCCCTCTGGTAGAAAACGAAACAAAAACGGAAATTCTATCTCATCTCCGTCGCTAAGTAAAACCCGTGTTCCGGTATATGTGTTCATGATTGATGTAGCGGTTAGCTCCACAATAGTCGTGACACTGCAGTAGTGAGACAGTCCCACAAACTCATGTTCAGTCACCGCTATCCATGATCCTCGTATGTTTACTCACAGTGTAGAAAAACGAAACTAAAAAAGGAGAAACATGAAACCCTCATGATAACAACCGTGCCAATACTTGGACACAACTATTGGAGAAAAACCAGCTCCCAAACCCTAATTAAGTTAACTACTGTTGCATGTACCCTGGCTACCGTTGACAGCAAGGAGCAAGGGGTGGACTTTAGGAAGGGAAATGTAATCAATATTTCCCAAAACAATAAAACTAGGTGTGAAAGAAGTTCGGAAAAACCCTGATTTCACAGAATATTTCATTTTGCAAGATGACCTAGTAGAAAGTAGGAGGGTCAATGATAGGAGTGAGACAAATGCAGTTCACTGCTTGACGTGAGTACCACTGATTGTGAAAAATGGACTCTCTCCAATAATGGTAAAGCTAAATTTAGCACACGTTGCATTATTAGTCTTATTGACATCTAGAAGTCCATCGATTAGATGGTTGTCTGAAACCCGAGTTAGACACAACCAACTATGAGATATTTGAGATACCGCCAAGAGATAAACTACGAATACACAAGAGACAAGCAGTATAGCGGTCTGCGGAGTGCCTGAGTTGGTGGGCGGCAGTCAAAAAACACGACTGAAATTATGGCTTTGGCTATCCCATAGCATAAGTCTTCACATTATTATGGAAGCTAGCGCTTACCACAACTTCGTCCGTTAGACCTCACGACCAATATATCACGGTATCTGATAGTTATGAACTTTAAAAACCGAGAGGTTCTACCTGAAGCTCCTTACGCATGATACATCTCGAAGGATTTCCTCTCCAGTAACGAAAGATGTTGAGAGAGTCGATTACTATTGACAAAACAACTGTAGAAAAGCCAAGAGAAGACACGTTTCGGTGTTCGTTGACCTTGGTCAACAAACCACGACATATAACACAGGGATCACGATACCGGCAATTGAACACCCTATAAAAGCCAAAAACATGGGCCGGCCAGTTACTGCAGAACTGGTTAACCGACATTTAAAAATGTTTTCCGAAAATCCGAAGACAGATAGTGATGTCAAGAAGGATCAGTTGTTAAAAGGAAAAGTAAAGTACCTCAACATCAACCTAAGCGGATTAAGGCGTAAATTATTTGAGATCAGAAACATGATTTCACTTGAATCTGAAGATTAGAGTCCTAACTGAAACGCTGGTATTTCCCGATATCATGAAAGATGTGACTTAGGAAGGTGTCTCACTTTCCCGATGACATAGGATGCACAAAACGGGGGGAGTAGTGACGTACGCTATCAGACACTACACAGATGTAACACCATACAGTACAGAACTAACCGAAGTGACAAAGCCATGCTGGTGTTACTACAATGCGAACAGCACAAATTACTTGACCGAAAGGATATATCAGCGTCCCATAAGTTCTAACACCTAAAAATGTAGGACAGTCAAGGAGATATTAAAATGGCCACATCCGGATTTTGAGCAAATACTATAAGCCGAAGGCTCAAACAATTAAGTGGAAAACAACTCCTATATAGTGGCTCCATAATTGGCTTGTCACGCCCACTATGATTTCAAGACTCTCTTAAGATGTTGGTTGCCACACAAGACGGGCCATAGACTAATAACCCTTACAATTAAACTAGGTTCCGACAAACTATCAACTTCCATTGGAGGATTATCGTGTCCAATTACTAATAAAAAGGTTCATGACTAAAAACAAACCTTGAACCAGGGCGTCTGTGCTCCTGAAGAGCCGAATGACGAAGATCATTCTATGCACAATAGGCTAAAACTCATCCTGTCGAATTATCATATCATGGGCTTTCTATCCTATTTGACGCAAACAACTTACTTCCTCCATGGAAACGCCCTTTCAGTCGTCTCCTTAGTACACAATCTGGAACTCACAATCACAGAAAGCTTGGAGACCAGTACAGACTACATAATGTCTTCAGCCAAGACAGACGACTGAAGCTGTAAATAAATTATCGAAATAAATAGCCCCTTAAGCCTTCTACTTTGATGCTGACCTCACTAGTTTTATTGGGCTCACCCTAGGTTATAGTGCTCGGTTACTCATCTAAGCTAGATCACGAGTAAGTACTCTATGCTACAGCCCTCTTGCAATTACTAGCTAGCTTAGATCAGACGCTTCTCAACACACCGACAAACATTCAAACATATTTCCGAACTCATTTATTTCTGACTTCGGATTTCACTGGGTTAGTATGTCTTGAATATAAAAGTACAACGGACAAAGGCATTGTCAAGCCCTGATCACCTATGTTATCTTCACGAATTTCCACCTTGTTTGATGACAACTTGGCGTTATCACTCTAAATTTGATCCCAACCTTGTTTGAAATATACGGATGGCCACATCCTGCCGCTCACAATGTTTCCTCATCCTATCTCTTCGTAATATACATAAATCTCTTAGTAAATAACATATTTGTAATATCCCAATGAGTAGAAAAATTAGATTTTCTGACGTTTCGCGACTCGGTGTAAGCCAACAGGGTCATCACTTCAGAAGGGGACAAACAAAAAGAACAGAAGAATGTAATTAGTATCTCACAATTTAATAGTTTTCCTACGAAGATTATTGGAAGTATAATAAAACAGGACGGCTCAGTAATTTATGACAATAATTCGAATGAAATGCCATGGATTGGTACTGCAGTTTTACCATACCGTCGTGGCACAACAGGGGAACTCCAAAGAATCTTAAAACAACATACAATTAAATTATATTACAAAACAACCAACACACGTTGAAATACTCTAGTTCGATTAAAAGAAAAAATCCCGTTCATGTCTACACAGAACTGCGTCTACAAATTAGGTTTTGTTGATTGTGATGCCTTCTATATTGGAGAGCCATCTAACGAAATCTTGGCCCGTGCCAAAGAACATATGAGCTACACAATGAAACCTCCCGATAATCCTGTAGAACTGGATAGACTTAAATTTTTCGGCAATGGCAGTTCACACCATTTTAA